AATAATAATAATAATAATAATAATAATAATAATAATAATAATAATAAAAATAATAATAATAACAATATAATATTATACCTACACAGTATAAAATATTTATAATAAAAATTACTTATAATATGTTTAAAAGAATTATGACATTTAGAGTAGGTAATTAATATGTTTTATTCTGTATGAAGTAAGTTTAAAGCTACAGCTTGATTTTCTGATGTATGGAAAAACAAACACTTATATTTTAAATTTGATAATTCAATTAAACATTTTGGAATTTTAATTTCCGTATTTACCTGAAAGTGTCTAATTAAGTGTGATGAGATTGGGCTATTAAACATAGAAGATAAATTTTCATATTTAGTAGCCTCAAGCATTATATGACCAGATGAGTCTTTAATTATTTTATCAATAGACACAATAGCACAATAATCAAATAAAAAAAATAAATATTTATCACGTTCTTTAGTACAACTAATTTTGAAGTTTATTAGTAAAACTTGTTCATATAATGTAGTGGTTATATTTTGGTGAGTTGTATAGTTGAAATCAATTTCCTTTTTAAGTATAGGGTATTTAATGTTATTGTCTAAATACATATTTTGTTCGAGAATTCAGTTGTATACGTCTTGAAGAGGATATTTAGAACTTTGAACAGTTTTTTTTTATAATTTGTAAAAAGTTTTCAAATTTAAATGCCTAAAATTGTCTAGTGGACCATGAATCTTAACAAAATTAGCTATGTGTACAAGACCATGAACATTATATGATACATATTCATTTCCATAATGTTCAGAATACTCAGTAACAAATTTTCTTAATGAATTATTCGCCAAGTCATTATAGATTAAACAAGTTTCAACAGATATTAGTATTTTGATAGCACAATGTAAAAGTAAGAAATGGTCATACAGGAATGATTTTATCCTACCTTTAAATAAAATGGGACTCGTATATAACAAAAAAGTACAATATTCAGTTGCCTTCCAATACTCTAGTTCATCTAATGATCTGGGTAATCTACTGAACTCGGACGGAAAATGTGGTTGAAAATTTACTTGTTCAGTTGAAATTTGATGTTCAAGATCAATATTTAAAAATCATACAGGTTTTTGGCCACTTTTCCAAAAATATAATAGTTTCATTACTCCTTGGCAAACATTATGTATGTAATCTAACACAAAAACTGAAGTCATCGATAGGAAATACTTCAAATGAACAAGAACCTTTGTGATAAGAATCATCACTTTTTGAGTGAAACGAGTTTTTAATTGAGAGTCAATACCCGAAAAAGACATTCTTCTGTTAATAAATTCTCACTCTTTTAGACACGAATTGCAACTATAATTATATATATATATATAATTATATAAAATATTATACATTTAACACAAAAGCTTTAGTTGGGGCGTCACATACAATTTGAGAAATAGAAAAGTGAAAAATTTTTTGATTTATTTCAATTCCATTTTCAAAAATTGATTTCAACTCAGTAATAGATCAAAAAAAGAATGTACTGAACCAGGTTTTTTACTCCTTTCATGAAAAATTCCCACAGGTATTACAATTTTATTGATTTCAAGAACATTTATAAAAGAAATTAATATAGGCCAAAAACTAGATTTTGAGCTATCAGAAATAGATAATCCATCAACATGGATACTCAATTGAATTAAGTTAAAATCTTTTATACTTTTAAAATATGTGTAAATAATGGGTTTAATCATTTGTTCAACACCAACATATTGTATATTGTATATTCACAAGCTATTGTTCATTTGAATGATATTATGTGATTTAGAGTTTTTAATAATGATCATACATTTTTAGGTACATCCAACCATTCTGATCGTAACATAACAAGAAATTAATTTACACAATTATGTGAAATATGATATTTTGCAATTAGTTGTGATAATTTATCTTGTAAAGAACAATTATTTTGACCATCATTTTCAATCAATTGAAAATTTTTATATTGATACAAATTATTGACATTATTATTCTAAGTATTATTATCATTAGTAGAAATATCCAACTTTCCTGGTTGTGGAACTAAATTAAAATTATTAATATATAACGTTTCATTTGATGATGATATTTCCTCAGTATAGGCTAATTTCACTGATGCTGCCATATTAGAAGTTGAAATTGAATGTGGTAAATTAATAGAGGAACCTTTCTTTTTATTTATACTTGAAACCGTTTTTTTGAACTGTCTCCTCGACATTAAATGTAGTGGCTTCAGTTTTTTTTATCTAAAAATAAAAAAAAAATAAGCTATAATTTGGAGTAGGTAAAGTAATTCTAAAAAAATATTCTGTGGGTGTCTCAACATGTTATTTTGATAATTATAAAGAAATTCTAGTTGTTACTGTTAGGCCCATTTCACACAGGACGGTTTTGTCCGTGCGGATTTTATTCGTACGATTTTTCTCCGCACGGACGTTGTTTTCACACAATACGGTTTTTCCCCGTGAATCGTCTACATTTGGTTATATTTTATTTTTTTTAACTCAGTTGAATTTCAACATAAGTCGAAAACGCATCATTGCCATGTGGCTTTTGTACCGTCGTTTGCGATTACGTAGAAAACAACGTGTTCGTAAGTACTGGGTGCACCCAATTAATGAACGAAGAAATGTCATGGGCACATTTAACTCGCTATTTGAAGATTTACTTGCAGATGAAAATAAATTTTTCAACTATTTTCGCATGTCTATTTCATCCTTTGACGAACTCCATAACCGGCTGAAATGTAGTATTCAGCGGCAGAATACTAAAATGAGGGACTGTATTCAACCTAAGGAAATGTTAGCTGTGACACTGAGGTTAGTTCAACACACACTTCTTCCCAAGCCTTTTTTGTTCCATTCCTATCCCTATACGGTTCTTGGGATTTATCCCATAAGATGGGTCTGCATTCCACAGCAGAGATTAAAATGTCTGTGTCAATATCCATGTTTATTTTATTATTTCTAAAAAAATAGACAACAAGTACCTTTGACAACAGACGGTAGACGACTAAAAACCGTGAAGTATGAATACGCGTGTCTAGTCACGTAGGCCACTGATAAGACGGCGACGGCACGGCGCCGTGATTTTCAGTCGTTGACACGGCTGTATCACGGCGACCGTACGGATAAAATTCGCCCACCGTCCCGTGTGAAAGCCACAATTAATTTTATTTGTTTACTACCAAATAAAATCCGTACGATTAAAATCCGCACGGACGAATCCGTCCTGTGTGAAATGGGCCTTAATATTTAAAAGTATTCAATTTAGGAAAATGCAATTGGTTGATACAAAAATAATATGAAATCAATTATTGTTTATAATATGTCATTCTGTTTAGGTCTTAATTTTTTTTCTGAAAAATGTTCAATTTTAAATTTAAATGTGGCTCATAAAGCAAAAATTAAATGTGTCGTCTTATAATTTTTATTATAATTGTAAGCAAATATTCAAATATGTATACTGTCCAATATTCTTGAGGCATAATGCGCAACTGCACCTATCAGTCAAATTGCAGGGGCTGCTTTTATTTGTTTAATATATATTCAAGCACACCAAATGGTCTATTTCATCATAAAAAAAGTGAAATCATATGTAATATCAATATGAAAGAGGAAATACTAAATGCATTGGCAATATTTAAAATTAAATTACTATACAACTAGTATATTTAATACAGATAAAAATATTGGTAATCTTTTCAAACACTGTATATAACTGGACTATTTAAGTATTTATATTTATATTTATATTTTTGCTACTCATCAAAAATTATAAATACATTCGATACATTTGGTAATTAGCTGGGTTGGTCTATTTTATTATTTTACAAGGTACTAAGATTATGTATTCAAAATTATAACCATAGTAGGTGCTAAATCAAAAATATAATAACTAACAAATTATTTATTATTTAATCCAAGTTCACTACTAGATATATAGCTAACCATAATATTTATACTATTTGTAAAATTACCTATTTACAAAATATTTTGGTAAATTTACATTTCACTGGTTGGTGTTTACTTCACGTGCCAAACATTGGATTCCATGACGGAACTAATCTTTTATGAGATACTCAAAACTACTATCATTCATTTGATAATTTTCATAAGCAATTTCTAAAAAAAATAATATTACTATGTTATTGCAGGTGGATTAGATAAATGAATACAATAAATAATTACGTTTTAATATCATCATAATTTAAAGATTATCTAATCTAAAATTATTCTTAAATCCTGTCCAAGAACTAACAGAAGATAATTTATTTGTAAATAGTCTTGCAAATACTCTTTTGATAAAGTTTTGTAAACTTGTTCCACCAACTGAACATATAAAATTAGTCAAAAGAAATTAACAGATTTGTTATAAAAAATTAAAATGACATTTTACTATTCTTACTATTTTAATGTTATATTCATAATTTTGTAAGTTTTCCTCAATACCTTTTATGGCTTCAATACTTTTTAATGGAAACATACTTAAAACAGAATTATCTAACGAAACACATTGTGTACTAGGAGGATGTTTCATATGTTCCAAAAGTACATCTAACTTTTTGCCCAATCTATTCAAGAACATATTTGTAGAGTGGACAAATTCTGTAAAAGTGGGCACACCACTAGATTGGACCACTGAATGACTAGATTCTGAAAAATAAAATAAAAATATTATATAATATATATAATAAAAAAAAAATAGATATCTATGTCTACTTATTTCAATGTTTACCTTGAAAATTTGATAAACCTGCATCAAAATGTTGTCTTATTGATTCTAATGCATCAGATCTTGTATCTGAAATAAATTTAAAAAAAAAAGAATTATTATATAAAATTATACATTTTTTTTTTAAGTAAAATATGTATTATATTAATTTATAGTTATTACCTTGACCATTCTGTACACTACTACCAACATTTTGTCCAATTAACTGTAGAGTCCTTTGACTTATATCTAGTACAAAAAATGAAACATAATAATGATAAGTAAGAACTATATATATAAATATAAATATATATATATATATATATATATATATATATATTTAATAATAATAATAATAATAATAATAATAATAATAATAATAATTACAAATTAGAATTTGACATTTACTTTATTAAATACAAAATTATTACCTTGATTACTCAATAAAATATTTTCATTTTCTTTCAAGTATGATTGCATTGTGTATGTTTCTAGATATTGCAAATAATAAATAGGTAATTAAAATATTATATAAAAACAAAAATGAATATACATACCTTGGACATAATGTATAATATTTTCATTTTTGTTCAAGTTTGATTGTATTGTATAAGCTTCTATAATATAATAATGTAACAAATTACAAATAAATTAAAAAATATAATATAGACAATTACTAACTAGTTAAATATAATAATACCTTGATTATAATTGTTAATAAAATGTGAAATTGATTCTGCTGTGTTACCTAATTTATTAAAAATATTAGTCATATGTAAAAATAATTTAAAATTAACTAGATAAAATGTTGTTACTTCTGTATAGTTCTGTAGTTTTATTTTTATTGTTAGTATGTGGTGGTTTTTTATAAATACTTAGAGTCACATTTTCACAAGAATCACTACCTATCAATTAAAAATTATATATTCAAAATATTGTATGATATCAACACCTACAGGTAATAGGTACTCACTATCGCTGACATTATCTGGTGATGCAACAAATTGGGATTTGGATAGTTTTAGTTTATTCCCCGTCCTAAATTTTCTTCATTTTCTGACTCCGACATAAATATTTGGATTTCTTTCATTACAGCTTGTTCATATGAGTCTACATATATTATATAGGATGATAAATATTTTTTATACTTTTTTTAATTATTTTATTTAGATTTTATAAGTAAGTAATAAAATACAATTATTTTATCATATTTTTTATGATGTAGAATATGTAGATAGTCGTTTATTTTGTAATAGAAAAATTAATATCGTACCGAATCATTCAATAACTTTGACAGGGTAGGACTTCCAATCTGCAGATGGTTTATCTCCTTTCATCAACATCATTGTTGTAGCCCTTTGTTTTAAAGGCCACTTACACAAATATTCTGGAATACCATTTGTTATAACAGATGATATCCAGTTAACAGGAATCATTGAGTACTTGTACTCTTCTTTAAAGTAACCAATAAACTACTAAAAGTACAATAAATTATAAAGGTATTGGCCTTGGAATTGATCTATACTTGAATAGGTACCTATATTTTTTATACAAAATTATAATATGGGTTCTGTACAAAGGCAATAAACGTATAATTTTAAACATATAATCTTGGTTCTTCATAAAATAATAATAAATACAAACTTATATTACAGTATCTATAGTTATAAAGTTATAACTTATATTAATTATAACTAATGCCTAACAGTATAATCTAGGATTGTTCTTGTAAGTTTTGTTTTTACTTTTGTGGTTAAATTTCATGTTTCTTTTATACATATATTAAGGTAGGTACAATATTTCATGCAACATATTTATGTGTATGTGTGAGAGAGCAGTAAACACAATATTTTGCGTTTACAATAATTGTGAATACCTACTCCAGTATAAAATGTGAAACTTGAGTGCACGTTGCGAAGAATGTATTATAATATTATACCTACAATTTAATATTTGATTCCTACTTATAGGCTACCTAATAGATACATTTTCAATACCTAGCTAATGGATATAATATATAGTAAATCCGGTAAATGTATGAAACTATTGAAACTATACCACAAAATAAATTCTATTCTGTGACTATACTACCTATATACTATAGATATTATTTATTAAATTAAAAATATTATTTATTATTCAATTACATACCTGTTTTTTGGATCCTTCCATGTTGATGAACTTAAAAAACGAATAACACTTTAAAACACTTTATACGCTTGCAGACGTCAAATACTTGGTTATATGCGAAAATAAATAGCGTCGATATCGTCGTAGTCGTAAGATGTATTATGTATACACACTCCATGGATCCATGGATGTATACTTTCTCGTACACAGAAATGTTATATTGTAGGTTAACGTCATAATAATAATAACGCTAATATTATTGACATTATCACATATATATATTATTATCATAGATATTTTATTTTATCTATTTTTAGATTATTTACAATAATATTATGCGATTTCTATGTGATCGCAATGCGATATTGTGAATTGAGATGTTGTTTATTTATAAATCATTTTAAAATCGGAAACCATTATCTCTATAATTATAGTTTATAATATCTCTGAGACATCACAATCACAACATTACACTTGAGATGTTGATTTTGTGATGTATGTTTTTATAATTTTACAATCATCTCATTGACGTATCAGAGATGTATACCGTAGACGTTAGCTTTGAGATCATAGACCGATGTCTATGAGATATCATTCTCAATACATTGTAAACAGGGATGATAATGTTGAATCATTACATTATCAGTGGAAGGGAGTATAATTAAAATTGCACCACTTTGATATAAATACAGGTAGCATTTGACATAAATTAGAAGTAGATAGGTAGTTATGATAGATAGTGTTAGACTGGTCATTTTCCCTTTTAAATAAATTTTTACTCGTCGTGGACGAGTAATACAATTACAGCCACATCGCCGCGAGTACATAATTCTTTACCTAGAATAAACTGTTCTTTATTTTTGTTTTAACTGTTTTTCTTGTGGTAAATTAATAAAAACAGTAATTTTTATAAGTGTTAAAATACAAGTGTTTAATTATTCAAATTACCTATCTCTCTCATCATTACGTCTCAAATTAAAAATGAACGTGCTACGTCATTAAATAATTAATGTGGTACCGATCTTAGTGTCCTACACGGGAGTTTCCCGTTTCCGCCAAAATAATACTGACCATTTCCGTCATAGCCCTTTTCCGCCAAAAAACAAAAAGGGTACGATTCCCGTTCCTGCCAAAAGCCATTTCCACCAAAAAAAAGTTTAAAAACTATTGGTTTTAATTTTTAAGCAATATTGAATATATGTTATGGCATGTGTAATAGACATTTGTAATGTATACATCGAAAATCATCGATAATAACGGTTAATAATAACAGTACACTGTTCGATATACTGTATCATAGCTTATTTATAATTCGCACACAATAATTATCAGACAAATGTTAAATTCTTATATTTCCATTCAGTTTCTGTTCTTTTTGTCACCAGAACACTTAAACGTTCTTACTTACTTACCGTTCTTAAAATGGAATTTGTTGTAAGTAAAAGAGGTAAAACAATATTGATTTTTGATAGGTTTAAATATGTTTTTGGTTATACGTCACAAACAAATGTAACTCGGTGGAGATGTTTTATGAAAAATTGTCGGGCCAATATTTTTGAAAAAGAAAAAGTAATACTTGCAACTAAATGTACGTTTTTTATCTACGAGTAAAATAAATATATTTATTTAATTATTTATCTACTTATGACGATATGTGTTTTTTTAAAACTCTATCGAGACAATATTTGACCTATCCTTGTTTTTTACTTTATAAATAGTTAAATAGAATGGACATATTATAATATGAAATTATGTAATACTTTAAAAACTCTAATATAATTGTACCTATATTCAACTAATATATTATTATTATCTACTTTATTAAAATTTATAATTTAAGAATATGTAACAATTGTACATGGTTCCCAAACGTTTTATCACAAAAATAAATTTTAGTGGAACGGGAATCATACCTTTTTTGTTTCTGGTGATATAGGGCTATGCGTAAATCAAGGAACCGGATTTTTGATGGAAAAAGTACATGCCTTCCTACACAACGATCACTACAAAAGTATTATTAGTTAAAATAGTTTCGATAAATTAGTAAAATCAACAAAATTGAAAAAATTGCGAAAAATTGTATTTTAAATTTTTAGATTTTCATTCGTACCTATACGAAACGCATTTAAAACTTACTTAGAAATAAATTGGAGCAGTAGAAAAAAGTTGCAAATGTCCTAGTAATATGTAATATGATAGAACACAGGCAAATAACACTGCTGTGCCACGGTGTAAAATATTATGGTACCGTAATAATTATTACGGTATAATTGCTCAATGGTTTGGATAATTATTGTGCTTAGGTACTTATATATAATATACTTTTTTAAATATAATATTTTAAAACATTATTAAAATTAATATACTGGTAAAAATAAACAAAAATAGCAATTCGTAATATGTTTGACTAATTATTGTTGTAGAAAAAATGAGTTGTATAAAGCCGCGTCCAGACTAAGAAATATTAAGAAAACATGTGTTATCGACAATATTGTCGACAAAAATTAGAACTCTTTCTAAAATGTGTCACCGACAATTGTGTCGGCGACATTGTTATCGACAAATTTTTGTTTTCCATCCGAGGTGGGAAAAATTCGACAAAGTTTATAAACATTTTCGCTGACAATAAATTGACACGTCCAGACTGGTTAAATTCTGCCGATATTTAGTAAATGTATCATAATTTATTTATTTGTTTAGTTTTCGTTCAGTTTTGCCTCGTCCGCCTATACGTAGTGCATATTTTTATTTTATTTTATTATATATATTTATTATATATATTATATATTAAATTCTCCAGATAGACCAATGTCATCACGTTTAAGATCAGTCATTAAATCATTACCACTATATTTCTGCCATGTCTAACTAGGATGAACCCAATATCTCTTTTTGGAAGCATTTTTTGCTTCTAAACTAAAAATTACACAAGCACATGCGGCAATCGCCACATCATTCTCGTTTCACATTTTGTCCAAGATTAAAATGTTTATCAAATATGTTGTTTTGGTGTGAACACGCTTGTTTTTAAATTTTGTCGGTGACATTTAAAGAAACATTTTGTCATCGAAATTGGAGACAAAGTCGGCGACAATTTTTTTTTTGGTCAGGACGCAGCTTAAGAAAAAATTTGTATCAAATGTATATTATTCAGAATATTAAAAATAAAATGATCCGAATAGGCCGGATACCAAATAACTACCGAATATTCGGTCCATCCCTAGTTAAAACACGATGGTTTTCACTATCATGATAAAACATGTCAGTTTTCATTGCCAAATTCAAGACTAGACAGAAATAAAAACCGCCGTTTTTCCCTGTTGGGTTTTGCCCATATACTTCGGTTTTACACGGTTTTACACGAACGTGTTTTATCGTGACAATGAAAATCCGCGTCGTACACAACGAAAAATAAATTTAATAAAATTACATGTAATTGTCCAAACCAGTACAAAAATAGTCATTTATCTGATATAAAATGTTATATAGTTCAAAATTTGTACGTTTTGAAGTACTAGTGTCACGAAAACTAAAACCAATGATTAAATTTAATTTATTGTTGATCAAATAAAAATTACTGAATTATAGCAGATTCGAAAGTATAAGTTTCTGACAAGTAATTTTTAATTTCGAAATTTATTAAATATATATTTTGTAAAAAAATAATATTTTCTCCGAATTCGCAATTCACGTTTGTGGCGTAGGTCCAGTTCGCTAACTGAACATTATTGTTTTATTAAATTTGATACCGAATTTTTTTTGCCTTTATTCGAAATTTTAAATTCTCGGTGTACTCTAAACCAACACAATTAATATGCAAGTTGTTATAACCAATTTATTGTATGCAATTTCAATAAAAAAAACTAAGGGTGCTTAAGCTCTGTATTTATTAGGTATTTAATTTATATTAAAACTATAAGGATTTAATGAGCCGATTTTTAAATAAATACAAATAAAGGTTCCGATGGGGTTCCGGTTTTAAAATTAATTTAAATTAGGGTTTCGGTGAACTCGACAAAATGTGAATTGACGTTTGTCGAGTACCAATGTTTTCATTTATATTTCATTACAGTTTTATAATCTAATAGTCAAATGTCTGATGACAAAAATAAGTTTTTAATTCATAATCACGAACATTATTTGAGGGTGCTAATACCCTCTAACCCCCCTATTTGCGCCTATGATTGTATGTAATGATTTTATATAGGTATATATATATCAGTTATTATCATCTATTAATTTAAGATTATTTATTATGCAATACTGATACATTAGTTCACTTATAATTTAATTTGACTCATTTTGTTCACTTGTGTACCTAATTATTTGAATATTATATATATATATATAATATTATTAAGCCTGTTTAGTCGATAACCTTGGTTAAAAAAATCAATGACAATATTTCGTATACAATAACTGCTGGTCTTTCAACTTAGCATATCTTAATTGTTTGTTTTCGTTATTTGTTTCCCAATTTATATTTTAAATTAATTGATAAGCATAAATCTCTCTCTCTCTTTCTCTCAAGAGAGATTATTAATAATTAAATCCCATATTAGTATTGTGTTATACATATATTAAGGCTTTATTATTTATTTTTATTCAAATGTGTACAAAATGTAATAATAACTGCCTTGATCGGAATTTTTTACAAATAGTGAGCACAGAGGAAAAATCCATTAGGTACACAAAGAATGCGATGAAACCTCAATACTTTCTATGGAGGAAAAAACCAAAATCCATAGTGGTTGGCACCCACCTAATAAAAATAAATGATTTTCCATGACCTCTGTATAACACCTACGAATCTATTCTATCGTAGATAGGTTGAATAAATTCTACTTCTAATATTCTACCATTGATTATAAATACTATTTATTTATGTATTTATTGTATTTATAATCAATAATTCTACCCAGTCATATTATATTATTAACGGACGAAATGGATAAAATTATTTATAAACTTGCTCAAAAATATAACTTATTTTCCCTTTTTTTTACGGTTTTTTATTCGAAGAACTTCCATCATGTTTTCGTTTGATTTTCTTCTAATTTCTCATACCAAAATCAAACTATTGGCAAGTCACTGCCGTAATTTATCGTAAAATATACATTGTCATATTATCAAGTTGGAATTAAGACTAAGAACCACGGCATCCCTTTATACGCAGTAAGAGAAAAAAATGACAAGAGCCTCTCGTTTGGAACTTATAAGGAAGTTAAAAATCCATATTAACAGAAAAGAGCTGGAAAACAGTATTTCTATTTTCTAAATAATAAAAAAATTCAAATACCATAAACATTTTGACTCTAGTTCTATATAATAAACAATTTACTAATTTTTAAACTTATAGTTAGGTAATTGGAAAATATAAAACATTATTCCGACTGTTCGTAAAATTGTCAGTTTGACTCGGGACCGGATTGGGTAATCTTGATCCTACAAGAAATGTTTTCTACCGATCCATAATTTGCTATCAATAGTATACCTACCTATTTTAATTCCAATGGTGACCTTGACACGGAGTGTTAGCTTAGAGCTCTTTTCAGCCGTACAACCAATATTTTAGGTATGGATCGGGAATGGAAATATTTCGGTTTTTTCTTCTACAAGCCAAACGTTTTAGCGGTCCGTAGATATTTTCTCGAATGTTCAACTGGCCGGTCTAGGTCTTTTACAAGGGCGCCCGCAAGGAGGGGCAAGGAGGAAAAAACTTCCCCCTAACTTTTCAGCTATTTAAAATAATTATATCCAAATTAAATATCCCAAAAATCATATTTGGTACCAAGTTGTTTTAATATTTATAGTTGGTTACGTTCAAAAATGTGTGAGAATCGTTTATCTGGATTATGCGTGTTAAATTACACAGAAAAAAAAAATCGAAGAACTTCATTTAGCTAAAAAAATTGTTAATGAATTTGGGAAAAATAAAATAAAATTGCAGTTTGTGCTCAATCAGTTAATAAAAGTGTAATTAGTATAAAAGTGTTTGATTATTTATAAAAATTAATGCTGTCCTCCTCCTCTTAATTTTCATTTTTATGCACCCTTGGATTTTCATATGAACACATAAAAGTAAACATTTGTTATGGAACATCAATTCTACCTACAGTTGTAAGTAGAATAAATTGTACCATAAAATAAATCAAGACAAGATTAAACAAGAATTTAAAAGGATGAGTGAATTTGGTGAATAATTTTGAGAAAAATTGGGCCGCATTCCATAATTTTACGAAAAAAAGGGCTTGGGATTTGTTATTTGGGACGGGACTCGTAATCCATATAGCACCGACCAAGACTGTAATCGGTCAAGGTCTTTTTACCTCCATAAACTACGCATGATGAAATACGAAACGAATTCTTTTACCATCGTCACACACCGGTTCTATTTGTGTTATCAAACATTTGGAAAAACGCAATGTCATTGTCGAACGCGCATAATACTGCAACACAGATAGTGGCGTTATTTCATAACAAGTACAATATTAGTGTTGTGATCATTATTTAAATGATGTAGATTGTAGATGTAGGGTACACATAGTGTAAACGAAAACACTGGTCATTAACTACATATTACCATTGATTATAAATACTAGTACTAGTATTTATAATCAATGATATTACTCATTCCACTCGTTATCTTCTGCTATCGCTTTCACCGTTCCCAGTGCATAATGATGACATGACAATCTACAGGTACCGTATTCGTACAAGAACGGGATATAGTTTCATCAATATATACGATATTGCTGTTTGATCGACAACAATTATATGGCGAGGGCCAAAATGAACGAGGACTCCAGAACGATGTATTTGGCTCGAGCGTTGTATGACGCAGTCGAAGATTGCAATGTACAGTAAGTAATACCTACACATCTACCTATATGTTTTGTTTTTCAAGTCAATAGTTGATTTTATTTATTTACTTAACATTTCGTTAGACAAACTGTAATGGCAAGTATATACGTTTTCTCATTAGTTTTTCGGGATACCATTCAATGAATACAAATTGTATGAAATTGTAAAATAAATTTGGGTGAAGATATCTTTATAACATTATTGAAGAACTATAAATTATGATTTATTAATGAACAGTTAGTTTTGGTTAAATCATAATGTAGGTACGTGAAATTCACAGAAAATTTATCACAAGTTATTATATTTAATAATATAATTACTAAAATGATACATAAATGTTTGAAATTGGTGACTTTTCAAATTACATTAAAATTAATCAAAAAAATTGTTTTTGTTAATGGTTTGATTTATAATTATACTTTTTGTCTTTATTACATAACATTTTGAGATAATATTGTGAGATAATTATATATAACCATAAAAAAATATCAGTTAGAATGGTATCAATAACAAGAAAAATTATCATTAGTTATTTTTATCTATTAATAATATTATTTAGAAATTTGAAATAGTTAAATGTTTTAATAAAATTATCAAAAATCATAAAAGTAGGCGAAGAATACTTAATGTTAATTATTTCTTTCAGTTTTTACAATACTAAAGAGTTTTGTTTATCGTAATGTATAGATAAATGTTGTTGATTATAAATCTGCGTGTCACATAAATATTAGACAATTTTTGTAAGACTTAATATCACGTTTTATCCTATTTAACATATAAAAAGTTGTACATCTAGGTCAGGATGTTATAAACATAATAGAATAGCATGATTTTTGAATAATAACGTTTATATGTAAATATTGTTTATTGTAACTGCTATTTTTAATTGGATGCACAAATGTAAAAACCATTATTAAAGTGATAGGTAATCTAAATTCTAAGGCCTATACCAAAAACTTAATATGAGATAAAATCACTTGAAAATTTGGTTGGTAGATATTCATTTTAATACCTATAATTTTCTTTTTAGGCAAGTTAACACTTTATTATCGCAAAATAAAGCCAATCCTAATGTTCTAATACCGGATGAAGGGATGACAGCATTTCACTTAGCTGCAGGACATGAAAATCTGGCATTTGGAAAAGTTGTAACTTCATTATTTTTACATAATGGTGGTAATCCAAATGTACGTTGTGATGGAAACCGTACTGTTCTACATATTGCTGTTGCATGGAATCGTTCATCGGTTGTTGAAATCTTACTTAAAAGTCCTTACATTGTTCCTGATCTCTTTATTAAAGATGATGACAACCTCAATGTATTCAATTATGCTGTAAAATTTAATGCCTGGGAATCACTTGCAACTCTCCAATCTCATATAAAGCAATCATACCACACAAGTATGTATAGAATGTTTATAATTTTATTTATCATATTAATATTTATTTATTTTTAGTCGGTAACTATGAAAGCTCAAAAATTATATAATATTAATATTGAACAATTTTTTATTTTTTATTATGATTTAGACAGAGCATAGATAAATATATATATATATTTGTATTAAATTATTAAAAATAACATGATAATAATATGATTTGAATGTTTTTTTTTAATCAGGATTTATTTTGAATATTCATTTATTTGTTATAAATAGTCTATACTTGGTTAAAGTGTTATATTATTTTACTTTTTACAGCTTCTAACATGGTAATTGAGCATTAAAATAATATCTTTAACTATGAGGTTTGGTTCATATAAAAATATAATTACCTCAAACATTTTTTTTCTAGTACACACAGCTTTTTTAACAACATAAATAGTCTTAAAAATAATTTCTAATGGAAATACGTGTTACATTTAATTTAAATTAATTAATCTTAATTTTTACATTTAATTCTAACATATTTTATGATAAATACATTTTTTAACCAATCAATAGGGATCTATAAAATTTACAAATATTTGCAATAAAACAAAAAATTAGTTTTAACTCATTATTATCCATTTGTATGTGTACATCCATATATATTTAATCAATATTATTGTGTACTTTATTTACCTTTTATTTTTAAAAAAAGTTAATAGTTAATATATATATATATATATACATATATGTATATCTTCTAATGATATAAACATTTATTTAGATAATTCAACCAACCAAATCTGTAAGCCAGTGCAACCAATACCTGTAAAACAAGAAGACATTTTTACCAAAGAACAAAATAATGAAAAATCTATTGATAATAACACAACATTTAATAAATCTGATAAATTACATACAAGCAGTGGATATTTTAATAGTGGTGAAAGCTTAAATAGTACTTCCAATTCAAAGAAGAGTAATTTAGTCGATGAAAAAAAAAATCTTTCTTGTGAATCAATATTATCATCAGTATCTTCAACTGATAACTCATTAGAAGATATTTTAAACAGAAATATTTCATCAGATTATGAGAACTCTGAACTTGATGACATCCCATCAAGTATTTATGCTGATAGATCCTTGAATTCATTGGAATGTGTAAATAATGGGTTTGAAAGTATAGAAAATATTAGTTTTCCTTCTAACAATCTACTTACGGATTCTGAATCATTATTTGAATCACAAAAAGTTGTATTAACTACTAAAAATAATTATAATCAGTCGAAAGATATATCTTTAAGTAACAGCGAATGGATGACAGATATTTCTGAATTATCTAACTGGCACAGTAGTGATGATTTTTTAACCTGTCCAGATACAAATTCGGAACAGTATCTAACTAATTCAAACTATAGAAATGATATAACTGATAATAAATTAGAAGATATTACATATAAAACATGTGACTCAAAAAGGTAACTACTGAGTATAAAATTCAATATTCAAAATAAAAAAATTAACTATTTATGATTTAATTCAAAATTAGATTATAAATCATTTTAGAAAATATAATTATAAATGTTATGAATTTTTTTTTATTTATATATTTGAATAATATACCTATATTGTTTGATTTTATTTGTTTAGCCAGTCTATTTCTAAAATATCTACAGGAATTGATAATTTAAGAATTTCAGATCATTATATTGACTCTGCAGGTACTTATGATTAATATAATATAAACTTGGTTAGGTTAAAGTTTTATTATTTTTATTTAGATGAGAGCAGTGATAGTTTAACTGAATTTACAGAAGATTATGACACAGATTATGTACGTCAAAGTCTAAGGAAGTATGGTGTACCTCCAGGACCTATAGTTCCTAGTACTAAGCATCTTTATGTACGAAAATTAAATAGAATTGTTAAAAATCAAGCTGCTTTTAAGAATGACAGTAAGATCAATAATACTTCAACTGGTATGTTTAAAAATGTGTTACTTATTCTAATTAAAAAAAAAAATAATAAAATTATATTAATGATTTTGGTTTTCATAGTGTGTTCATATAGTAGTCAATTAACTAAAGTATTAACTTCTGATGAGTCCTGGAAAAGAACTATTTTGAGTTGGAGTACTTTGGAAGAGAATATTATTTTTAATAAAAATGGTTCGTCGTTTACATATTTATTATTAGATCCACGAATTTCAAAAAATTTACCTGCTCGAGCTAACAAAATCAAAAATCCAATCGAGATATGGCAGACATTTATTAGTTCAATATTTTATATTGGTAAAGGTACTAAATCTAGACCAAATGATCATATGAACGAAGCTTTTAATTTTTGGATTGAAAAAAATAATAAAGAAAAAAGTCGAAAAGTATGTAGTATATTATAGAATTTTTTTTGTCAGAAATAATTTTACATTTTATTTTATAATTTTAGGTAGAATATATCTTGAGTCTATGGAAGGAACATTTGGGAGTAGTTTGTGTACAAGCATTCCATCATTTGATTATGAAAGAAGCACATATTCGAGAGGCAGCTATGATTGATGCAATTGGATTGGATGCACTAACAAATGAAAAGCGTGGTACATACTATGAAATTACTGCACGGTGGAGAAATAGTGATCGTTGCAAGCTAGGTTGCTATCTCTTATACCGTGCCATGCTTGTTTTTTTGGCAGATGGAGAACGCCAATTGAAACCGATAGATTTGACTTAAACTTTGATACAAAAATGTATTTCCCATATATAAGTTTTTTTAGTTTAATGACTACTGTAATTATACAACTTTAGTTTATTATATTTTTAGTTATTATTTGATACATTTTCAATTATTAATCATATAGATATTTATAATTCTGTATTTTTTATTTTGATACTCCATCAATATAAATTACTAAGTGTTAAAACATTTTTCGACATAAAAATTATATTGTTAAGTACATTTATTATACTTGATATTATTATGATAAATAATAATTTTATGCTTTTTGTAAATACTTTGTATTTTAAAGTTTTACAAAATAAAATGTTGAATATTTTATATTTAAAAAAAAATAAAAATCTCATTATTTTATTCATTTTATATAGTCTGTGACAGCAACTACTTATAATACACATATAAATTCAAGTTTTATAAGTTCATGTATTTGCATATCAATTTTATTAAATTTTATTTAACGCTAAATAAAATATAAATTAATTTTAAGATACCATAGTTCAATATGTAAAGTTTTATTTTATATATAACTGCTTGTATATAAATGCAAAAGTTTTTTGTACATTGACATACTTTTATATTAATAGGTTCAATAACTAGTTAGGTATTATTTCATTAGATTTATCAGTGTTTTTTTGTACATATTTTAGTGGAAAACAAATTTAAAAATAGAATTTATTAACACTAACAATGGGTTATTAGAGAATTAAAGACAATTTCACTATTACAGTTGTCGATGGTGGATCAAGTATTTTTTCACGGTGCTATTTTGCTAATAATAATCCTTAATGTACAACCTCAGGACAAAAACTAATTAGGTAATAATTTGGGGTTTAAATGTTCAGGAAAATCAGTTGTATTATGTGCAAGTATATTGTTTAATCACAAGAAATATACAAACTTCCTTAAACCTTGGACTCCTCTTCATAATACCCATGATTATATTTTGCAAAAAAATAAATGCTATTTTTTTAATACATTCATTTTTTATTAACATATAAGAAGTAAATAATGAATATACATCAGTAAATAATTTTAAAATTATAAACAATACAAATATATAATATAAATATACTTAAGATACAGAAACAAAATTGTATCTAAAAGTTATAGATATTCTAATAATATTTCTTAATATATAACTTCAAAGTAATTTACACAATTATAATTTAGATTAACCACTCTTCTAATTACATTCTTCTTTTTATTTTTGGCAAGCTCATTGACAACGTCAATATCTACAAGTATATCTTTATGAACATTAAATAATGCTTAGCCGTTTAATCTAAGCTCAGTCAAAGTAAAATGCATATAAATGGAATGTGTATAAAATGAAATAATGAAATAAATATGAATAGATTTTTCTTGTTATTCCAACAATTTATTTTAATGCGCATATTTTTAGATATTTAATGTACATAATAATATATTTAGCCAATTTTTAATGGATAGGTGCATGTATATTTTAGTTACAATTTAGAGCATGAAATTACGAGTTTTGTTTCTAAATGTTAATGACGTACAATATTAATGAATAATGAATCACTCAAGCACTCGCGTGCACATGATATAGAAAGAAGTGTCCAAATGGTATTCAATTTAGCAATTTATTGAAATCAGAACAAAAGTTGATTGCTTTAGACAGTCACACCGATTGATTTAAAAACATGACAAATTACAATTACAACCAAGCTAGTACTAGATCATTCCTGTTAAAAATAAAAATCTATGCAAGAACAACTTAGAAATTAAGCGGACATATTTCAATTTATAGTTAACCTTGCAAAATTTCAAGTCAATTTTATGCAATTTGTATAGAAAACAAGTGTAAGTATATTTATGTCAAACAGAAAACCACCCAAATACCTAGAAATTTAATAAGTATTAAACAGCTAACAAATCTGAGGCAATAAATTTTATATTTTCATTATTATTACTAAACCTGGTGGCATTGTGGGTAGTAAAAATACACAACATGATTATTATTGGTGATGTGAGTATGCACAAAGAACAATAATTATTGTCAGAATTTATACATATTTTATTTTATTATTAATTAATGGACAGGATCAAAAGGTTATTTAATATTTATTAATAAAATAATAATTGGCTATTTGAATATAATTTACATGACTAATTTTTACAACATGTATTGATGTTAAAAAATAAATAATCATACTAATTATTTTTCTATAAAAAAAGATGAGTATGTATACTATGTATAACTACTACTATACTACTATATAAGTTACATTTATTACAACTGTTGTGTTGAATTCCCATTGTATGTATTATTTTCATCATCATCAGATTCATTTGTATTCAATCGATAAATATTAGAACCAGATTTATATGATGTAGATTTTCTGAAAACAAAAAAATTTAATGATACAAGAGAAATTTAACTTTATTTAATCTCATCCATTTGACTATTTGTATGTACGTTTTTGTTTGTGACATCTCTTGGCGGTTGGGCATTCTTGGTGTTTGTACTGGCGGTGGCGGCATAATGAAATTCATAACATGATATTGAAAAAAATGATATGGTTTCATTATAGTAAAAGAAAATATGTTGAATAGCCAAGATTGAAAATTACGTATGGAGGATAGCCCTTGATATGATGGTACCTATATTAATATTAAAATAAAATAATATAAGACAATAAATTTTAAATAAATAAAATAATTATTTTATAATTACTATATGCACATAGATTGTTGAAGATGGACTTAAATTTAATGCATCTAACGTTTGGCAGAAATCTTCCTCCACAAATTGTCTGTGAGCAATCAATTTCATAGGCCTGAAAAAATAATATGATTTATTTACAAATGGGGCTTGAATAAAAATACTATTTATGTAGGTCAAGTTAAAATATTACCCTTCAGGAAGATGAAAATTATTCAATACAAAAGTTTTGACATCATTAAGCGTAGACTTTGTTTGAAATTCTTGAACTTTTGTAATCTTTTCGCAGGGAATTTTAATTTTGATTTTTGTATTAATATTCAATCTGTAAAAAACACTTTACGTGAAAACTGAGGAGAGAAAATTAATTACAATTTTTATCTTTATCTTAATTGCATGCCTGTACAGATAATATAAATATCTTATTAGTAGGAAGTTGTCAGTTAGACAATAAATTATAGATCACATTTATTTTATTAAAAATATTTAACAATTTATCATGGAAATTTCAAAAATATATTAAGAGTAGATTTTGTTTTAAAGAGAAAATTAAAAATACATTTCATACAAAGTGGTTTGTTTTTTATTAAATTAATTTTATATACTTTAATACATAATGTCCTACACTATCATTTATAAATATAACACATTAAAAAGCCCAAATTTTACACAATGAAAAATATTTTTACAGTTATTTAATTTAAAAATAGTTAGTTAATCTTCATTTAACATTAGCAATAAATTTAATTATTAAAAAAAAAATTATTGATTAGTCATTGCTTATTTAATAATTAAATTATAATATATCTATGCTCAAAATAAAATATCTACATAATGGATTTAAAATGAAAACTGTTTTATTTTTCATTTAATGTTATGATAGAAGTTACAGTAAATGTTATAATTATATGTTACAATAATATAGTTAAATAATAACAGTTATGAATATTATTATTATACCAATTTTATCACACTCGTTTGAGCTCGGGTCTATAAATAAGGGATGATTATAAATAGTAATGGTAGCTATAAATGGTAATATCTATAAACCTAGATTACTTATGTAATGAATTTCCTGGTCATAAATCGATACTTCTTAGATTTTTAATTAATTTATAACTTAATATTTTAATATAAAAATTTAAAAATTAGGAATAAATTTTAATATTATGACATTTTACAATATATTTAACTTTCTATGTAAATATGAAACTATACCAGATACAATATGTAATAACTGAAATTAATTAATTTTATATAAAGTATTTTTTTATGTTTATAGTAAAAACATTGTAAACAGTAGATAATTGATAAAAGTCTGATAAGGTATATGAATATTTGGAATAATTATTTATACTGTGTATGTGGCATACATAATTAACAATCATAATTAACATCCATTAACAAAAAAAAATAAATATTTGTTGTGTTTATTTTCATGCTTGATATTATGAGATTACTTATATTTAATTAAAAAGTAATAAAAAATGTGCAAAGACTTTTCCTAAAAGTGAATTAAGCATGATGATAACAGATCATAGATGAAAAAAACAGAGATTTTGTATCTATGAGTAGGACATTGGACAATATAACCAATAAATGTTTTTAAAAATCAAATATATATAGTATATTTGAGCATACTCTATGTAGAGATTTAGATTTTGAATAATTTTTACAAACATTTTTTTATAATATATATTTTTAAAGTTATTAATGCATTTGTAACTTATCTAAAAAAAAAAAGAAATAAATAAATAAACGAATTAAAACCATAGAAGAAATCAAATATAAATGTAAAGGTAAGAAAGAATGGATCTTAAAACCAAATCAACCAACAGAAAATTTAATAAATGTATGTAAAAAAATTTTTACCCCTACTTAATTTATGCTATTTGATTACAACTTATAATAAAATAATACAGTAAATGCATTTATAATCACAAAGATACTTTTATACATGGAGTTGATAATCTAATATACAATCAAAGATTTTTTAAAAAATTATTTCAACAAATTATTACTTTTTAATTTTTTCTGCATCTTTTTGAATACTTTTGTTTATAGTTGGATTATTAAAAATCTGCAACTAAAATAAAAAAAATATACATTATTTTCATACTTTTTTAAGTTAGATACTCTACATTACATAAACTATCTTAATAATTAATATGGTTTTAATTCAGTTTTTTCATTAAAATTGTAATATATAAATAGTGCAATCAGTAGATAATGGTGTTTAATTAGTTAGATAATTATAATTAAATGTATTATAAACTTTATTAATAAAACATTTCCTAAATTAAAAAATTGTTTATAGAACAAATAATTTAATAGGGAAATACAATTAGTTACAGAATAATAATTTTAATAATATTTAAGAGTATAAATGATATTTTAGGTTTATACATAAACAATGATTTTCGCTTTTTGAACTCAAGGTTAATTAACTTATTCGCCTATTAGACTCAAAACGGCTGATCCTAATTTGCACTTATACTAACACACAGGTTAATAGAGTGATTTTAAAATTAGATAAATTAGGAAAATTTGTACATACATTGAATAAATGTGTTATAAAAATGATAAAAGTCAGTACTGGTATGGATCAATATTGACAAAGAAGTCTAAAATACTGAACTTGTAACCGAGGAATAAATATGTGATGAAATACAATCAAAAAGACTAAAACAAAATATGGCTGATGCTAGTGAAAAAGAGGAATCTGACGAGAAACCATCATTAACTAAACAAATGCTAGAAGCGTTTTAAATTGTACGTAGAGGAATTCAGCAAAGAGGCAATTTGGACGTATTTGAGCAACATTAATCCTACCAAGAAATGATTATGAGGTTGGCTGAAAAAAGGAAAATCCAATCAATCCTGGTTAGATTTTTACCAAAAAAATTAATTAATTTTATATACATATTATTTTATTTTTAATAGCGTATCTTGATTTTTATTTTTATGCATACCTTGAATCTCAATAAATATTTTTTAAGTAAATAAGTTTTTAATTTTAAGCATTTTTAAATTTTTTTTTTGTCATTTGCTTTGTTGACTCATTTGGTTAATGGACTCAAATGGTCAGGTGCCAAAGAGAGTTGTCTAATAAGTGGTGACCACTGTATATATTTTTATGTAATAGATAAGTTATATACCTTCTTATTAATTTCAGTCATATATTGTACATGTTTCTGTTTTTGAATATCGTCATTGGTAGTATCTGAAATGTAATGATTATTATCATTATTAAATTGGTAATAATAATTATATAAATATTATATTATAATTATGAATTCATAACAAGCAACAAATATAATTAAACATTAAATATACCTGATATACATTTAATAGTAAAATAAACAGAATTCAATATCTGACGTTTTATTTCCAATTCTAGTTCATGAGTGTTGATTATATTCTCTTTTTTTATAATCAATTGTTGAACATTATTTTTTTCTAACAAGTAAATTGATGGAACAGAAACATTATTGACTGCATTTTATGAAAATATTTGTCAAAGAAAACATAGTTGCAATTAAAAAATATACATATTATGTATGCATTATATATATATTGAATATTTTTATGGTGTAATAAAAACTAATATATACATTATCATTTTGGCTTTGATTTAAATGCCTTTGTCAACATAGAAATATATTTTATTCTATATTATATATATTAAAATGTATTTATTGATTTAAATTTTTAAAATAATGATTTAGACATATTACTTATTTTACATATTTATATAAATGCAAAAAAACAGAGCTAAGAGTAACAAAGTATTTTTGTTAATTTATAAAAATGAATTTTCTAGTATTTATCATCCCAAAAAGTTTTTATAAAATATTTTTTTAGAGTTTGTAGTAAAAATAAATAAATGTGGCAGACTTTAAATCAAATACAAAATCATTATCGCATTTCTGGATTGAAATATAGAATGGAAATAAAATAAGTCTAATATACTACACTATGCATACAATAAATAAAAGCAGAAAATCACTACTTACATTTCTTTTAATTAATACTATTAAAAGCTTAATGGATAAATTATGGAATAGGCATTCAATTTATCATAATTTATCATTATATGTATGAATATAATATTATGCACATAATATATTGATATAATATATAATATAAAACCAAAATCTACTTAATTTAAAAATGTACAGTAATTGTTATTTAAAACGCTTATAAAAGGATACAGATGCCTTTGAAGTTTGTAAAACTCTGGCTGGTTGGATCCATTTCATAACATAAAACAAGTTGATTGTTTAACAATTCTACAACATATGGATCATTGAAGGCGTCTGTAAATTCATCATCTTCTTTTTCTAAAACATAAATTTAACATAAATTACTAATTTAAAATTATTTATTATTTTCATATTTTATATTTTTATTTTTTTTATTTTTATTTTATTGAAAACAGTATAATATAATTATAATTAGGTATAAATACTAAAATCTATAAATTTATAGATATATATGCCTCGCTATATGGTTAAAAATTAGTATTATACTTGAAATAACACATAATTTTACTTTTTTTATTGTATTAAATTCTGAACAAATTTTTATGATAAAAATGGTTTTAGACAAAAACTGTTTTTAAATACCCAGAGAGGCTGCATAGTTGAAAATAATTAGGGAGTAAGAAAGCCAAAATCTGTAAAATATATTTTTGGTAAAAATTTGAAAATTTCTTACTTTAACCTAACTTACAAATTAACATACATTTAAAATAATTTTCATTATTTTAGAAATGTATTTTGAAAACTTTCTTAAAATAACCAACATTTGTAATTTTTTTTTTTTTGATAAGATTAAGACTTACTACTATGGTGTTAACTTTATAAATTATTTCTTAATATATTTAAATTTTTAATCAAGTCTTATATTATAAAAATGGTTATTAATATATTCTGAAAAGTAAACAATTATACAGGTGTACATTTTTAATAAACGGTCTATTAATCAGCATAACCCTTTATAAAAAAAAATGTTTCCAATACTTATGTAAACCAAAAAGGCGCAATTCCGCTCCATCATTAGTTTTAATGCTTCTTTTGAATTTCCTTCAAACCACTTTACTGAAGACATCGTGAACAATATGTTGTTAACGAATTTGACTGTATTAGCACTCAAGTTTTTCTGGTGAACTTTAAAGCTTGACTGAGAAAAAAAAAAGAAGTTTTGTAAAACTGATTGATGTTAGAAAACAGATAAACAGATAGACGGGCGAGTCTTAAACCAACGTCCAGAGGAATGTGTCGAATCGTATAGAGAAGTTTAGCAAACACTTACTGCCCAGTGAAATTCGACTACGAAAGGAATACAATCAAAAAACGTAAAATAACTCGCAGTCGATGTGGCCGTATCGTATTAAACTGGGTGTCGTGTGCGTCACGCGTTTAACAATATCACGTTTGTTAAAGTGCCGTACGGTAATTGTGAAGGTTTACCCAGTGGGTACGTTTTTATGATTGTTCACCTCACGTACACACCTACACACGTCAATACACACTAACTCACACACGATCGAACGATGTTCTCATGGAACGACTCGAGCCGGCAGCAGACATGATCAGACTTTAATCAATATTTTATCTGCTCTTATCAGTTATCGCGGAAAATGGTTACTATAACATAATCAATCCTCCACGAACAACAAAAAATCGTATCTACCATTTTCGCTGTTCAATAAGACTACAACTAGTCATCGCATAATCAACTTCAAAGTCGATCAAGTGCCGGTCGAATAGTTTTTACCGTACATCAACATATTATACCTTATTAACGATGTTTGTCAATACCTTTGGGTTTTATCTCATTGTTTACAGGTGCCTCACGAGTTTTGTTTTAGTGCGCGTTCTTCGCCAATAAATATTTATGTTTTTGTGTATGTATACACACTTATTGTTTTTAAAACCAATGCATATATCAATGTTTTTGTTTAAGTTCTTGAAATTTTGCCGACCAATACAGTCTACAGTAATGATAGTGCAACGAGAAGTGTTTTGATGGTGTAGATCTCGTTTGGGTATAAGTCTCGATCACAGCCGCAACCAAAATGACCGACGAATTTATTAGGAGAGGATTGACCACTTCGGTGGCTCAGATATGTTCAAATATTGGTTGGCATTCTATGGCCAACTCGACTCTTCAGATGATGACGGATATACTATATGAATATTTCAAAGATTTAGCACAGTCTGTTAAAAAATTCTCTGAAATTTGTAAGTGTCCGAACTTATTTATAAATAGGGAACGGATTTATATATAATAAAAATACAGAAATATTTACATATATATGTAAGTATAATTTATAAAATATGTGCTAAAAACATCCAAATATGTGGGGAAAAAAAAGTGATTATTATTATTAAATTATCAAAATGATTTGTTGCATTGAATTATTACAATATCTTTTAAATTATCAAATGTTAAATGTTGCCTACTAGGTATCAAAATATTTTTAAAACGGCTAAATTATCGTTTCATATCAACCGATGTATAAAAGCATATTTCAAGTGCGTACTATTCAAGGCGATAATTCCAAATTTTTAGAAGGGTGTCTGCCACTTATTATATCATTGATTGTTTTAAAATCAATATTGCCTGGAATTTTTTTCTGTAACAGCATGAATTTTCTTTTTTACAACAACTATTGGTCCGTTTACGAGTTTTAATCGCTGATTCAACAATTTGCATACTATCATTTGGGGACATATTTTTTATTAATAATTTTGTTAAATTATTTTTAATTAAAATTAAATTATTTTCAATGTTTCATTTAGCATAATATTTTGAGCTTTTCCAATAGCGATAGAAGTTTCTGGATCTAATTTTGAAATAATTTTTTGTATTTTCGTTCAAAGAAGACGTATGAATGATGAAATGATAAAAATATGTTTAAAAATATTTAAAAATTAGTAAAATATGTAAAAATATGTAATTATACCAAAATATGTAAAAATATGTAAAATAAAAGTATCATCATTTTAATAGGAATGGTTTAAATCATAAACATTTCTTATCGAATCTTAAATATCTCGTTTTAATAAAAATATGCATTTACATATAAATCCGTTCCCTATTTATAAACAATTTTAATTGTTTTATTTTTATAAAATTATTGTTTAAACATTCAGTAATTTTTCTATTCATTATTGGGATTTCTCTATATTATTTTACTTGGATTTTACTCTATATTAAGAATACTGTTATTAGCTATTAATAATGCTTAAAGTCTTAAATTACATTGATTTTGAATGCTACTACAGTATGAATAAGTAGAAAATTGGGTATAGTAATTATCGAGAAATTAATATTTTTATAATTTGCATTTATTATATTAAATATTATAGTTATTAATAATAATGCTCGTTTATGGTAATGAACTATTAAAAAAAAAAAAAAATGAAGTAATTATCATTTTATAAACTTGTTACTTACATTTATTAATGTATTTTATAACTTTGGGCTGAGTGATTTAGCAAAATAATATGACTAGTTTGAACCTATTCATAGACAGCTAATCTCTATGCAAAGTTACTGTCAAAATTTCATTCTAAAATACAACAAAAATTACTGCATGGTAAAATATTTATTATACCATAACAGTGTAAAAACAATTGGCAAACAACCTGAAGATTATTAAAAAAGAAAGCATACATTTATTTTTAAATAAAGAAATTACATTTTATTTGGTGGTTTTAAATTCTTATAATAATTATTTTCTATATTTGTGATTATATAGCCTTCACTTTACAATTATTAATTTCAATAATAAATATTTTCTTTTATTATGGGTACTAATAATTAATGTAATTAGACATGAATATATTTTACTACATTTTAAATGAGTATTTGTATGCAATTATTGATTTAGCTCTAACTTATTTAATTTATTCCTCCAGAAATATTTATTTTTGCACCTTATTTTAATTGTATTATGAATTTTTGTGTCAAATATTTTTTTTAGTAAAATATATATTATACATTATGTTTCAGCTGATACAATTGAACCAGATATTGATGACGTAAAAATGGCATTCCGTGATAAAGATGTGGCCATTCCAGATTTAATAAGATATTTAAAACAAGTTGGATCTGTTGAGTTTCCGCATAAAGTACCAAAGTTTCCTATACCAACAAAGTCTAATTTAAATATCATGAAACCTGGAAGCCGAGAAATTGTTACCCGACCTGTTTATGTTCATGAACATCTTCCTACTATGTACCCTGAACAATCTGGTAAGATTTATATACACTTTAAAATAAAAAAAATTTACAATACAGGGTGTCTAACTATGTTATACCAATATTTATATTGGCAGTTATTATTGAAATTTTTTTATTTTTAATTTTTTAAATTGTATTTTGTGTTTGAGGCAAAATATAAAAATTTCATTTTATTTTATTCATCCCTGAATTACTTTAAAAAATTAACTTTTCAGTTCTTCTTATACAAATTCAATATAATCACATTGTGTACAATATTATTATAAAAATTAAATGTAACATATGTAAATATCTGATGAATATTTCCTGAATAATAACCATTTTAAATTCATGAAAAAGGATATGGAAATCTTTTAGTTGTACATTTATTAAAATTAATAAATATAAATTATTAGTAATAGGTTAGCTTCTACATTATGCCTTGAATTACTACAATTGTTAAATTCCAATATGAATACATATGTATTACAAGCGTTATTCTAGATTATTTGCACATTTAAACAAATGAGTTTTGATTATTAAATCTATAAAATGTACCCTAACCTATACAATGGTGCTTGAAGCTATTACTTTTGATTATAAATACTATTTGTAGTCAATACTATTACTCATACTTTTAATAAATATAATTTATTGTATGTATGAAATTAAAATGGCTATTATTCAGGAAATGTTCATCGAATACATATACAGGCTGTACACAGGAATTGTCTAAGGGAGGGATTTTAAATTATGTATGTTGGATAAAAAATCAATAAAAACAATACACGTTGAAATATCCATGATCAAAAATATCAGGATCGAAAATAAATAAATGCCAACAAATGTCTTAATAGCTGACTTGTTAGTGAAAATATGTTCTATTGATGATTGCATTTACAACAATACCATTAGTAGGAGAAAAATACCCAAAAATTAAGTACCAAGAAAATTGGTACTGTTTAAATAAAAATAAACAACTATATATGAATTTTCAGGTCAGTTTATTTTTATTTAAAATGCATATAAAAAGGTTTTCATTGGGATAGAACACCCCCTTCCCCCTTGCACATGAGCCTGTACATATGTTACATTTAAATTTTAGAATAATAGCTAACATTATGTGACAAAATAAAATTGGTCAAGTAAAAACTATAATATTTTCAATATTAACTGCCGATATTAAAATCAGTAAGACATGGTGATGCACCTTATATATATATTATATAAATAACAAATGTTTATATGAATATTAGGATAGTCTATTAATAATAATATTTATAGATGAAAAAACAACGCAAAACGATAGAAACCAAACCTCTCATTCAAGCTCTTCATTAGGAATTTTCAATGATCCAATAAGTATTCAAGAATCACAGGCATCCATAAATGATAAGTAAATAAATCATTAATATAATGTATACAATTAAAATACACTTACAGATTATTGATTTATATACATTAAATTTTTCAGACCAACACATGGTAATAATGTTATGCATCGACGACTTAGAGAAATTTCTAGTGTGGTTATGACAACATCTGGATTTCTTTCACCGTCCCGAGAAGGAAAGTTGCCAGAATCACGACTAATGCCATTTCCTAATTTTAAGACCAACTCGTCACAGCCATCAACTTCTTATTCTACAGTTCCACCAGAAGTCAAAGGTGAACAGCATCAGCAACAACGTATGAAACAACAAAATAGAAAACAATCACAAAAAATATTGAACAGTTTCAAAGAAAAAGGAAAAAATGCTATTGAAAGTAATAATAACAACAATAAGAATGAAGGTGTAAAAGTAAAGAAGCTGACTAGCATGAAAGAAACCTCCAAACTTAAAGCATTAAAAACTGGAGCTATCCGCGAGTCTAATCAAGGACCTCGACTCAAAAAGACTCAAAAAATCAAAGATAAATCAAAACTTAATCTACTGAATACTATATTTGATAAGCCAGTTCAAGCATCATCTTCTCATTTAAAGTATTCAAAAAATTCTGAAGGAGATAATGAAAAATTAACAACAGAACCTGATAAGCAAAAATTAAATATTTTTAAAAAAATATCTAAAGTAAAGGAAGACAAAAATAATGAAAGTTCTGGACATCAAAGTTCTAAATCAAATATGCCTATAACATCGAAGGCAAATTCTACTATTGTAAGTTCAGATATTTTGATAAAGCCTGAATTAAAACCTGAGGTTATTGAAGAAAAACCTTTAAAACCTATATTCACTAAACCACCCATTGAAAAAAAAAATGATAGTGTTCAAAAGACGCCTGTAAAAAACACTAAACAAGAGTTGAATACAAATACACCTAAAAAAAGAAAAAAGAAACCAAAAATATTAAATGATGATTATGATCCTCCAACCATAGATCCCATAAGTAGCAATACTGGTACAAAAAAATCTAAAAATAAACATGATTCCAATCTGTTTTCTTCTCCTTTAAAATTTTCTTTCTTTGGTCATTTACCAACTGGGCCAGGTCTTCTTCCAACTGGTCCAAGTATTTTACCACCATCATTGGCATCAAATCCATTGGTTCCAAAATATACACCTCCTAATAATGTTATACCAATGTTAGAAAAACCAAGTTCAACAACTTCAATGATATATTTACCCTTACCTGGAGAAGATCATTTTGAAAAACCTGAGCTTGATGAACTTTCTTCAGAGAAAGAAAAAGTCCAAACGGAAAAAATAAAAGTAAACTATATTTGTTAATCATTGTTATTTGTTGTAATTTATTATTATTATTTTTTTTAGCCCAAAAAAGAGCATAAAAAGATTAAAAAAGAAAAGATAAAATCAAAAAAGAAGAAAGATAAAAAAAATAAAACTAAGCAAAAAGAACGGAGTGAAAGAAAAAAGGAAAAATTATTAAAAAAATTGAAAAACAAAGTAAAAGTAGATACTGAAGAATCGAAACAAGAATCTACTATTGTTAAGGTTTTATTTAATCCATATATTTTAGTTACTAAATCTTATTGAAACTTTAAAATTTAGAATTCATTCTAAATTTTAAGTTTTATTTCCCTTAAGATAAATTAATATTTTGTAGGAAAATAGTCCAGAACCTGTTGTGAAAGAAGATGACCATTTAGTTCCAAAAATTAAACTTAAATTACCTGGTTCAAATGGATCAAATTCATCTCCATCTATTCAACGTAAAATGTTAGAAAATTAACTTTTTCAATTGTATTGATGTGTATTAATAATCTCTCTTTTTGTGATAGAGTAATCAAGCCTATAGTAAAAAACAAATCTCCACCCGAGTGTGCTGAAGAAACACATAGTTTTTCTAAAGAAAAATCACCTGTGGAACGGGTCAAATCTTCTATAGCAAAATCCAAAACTCACTCTAAAGATAAATCATCTATAAGCACCTTACCTTCGGTATCAATAACACCAATTAAAGAAGAAGAAACAGAAATTATATCAGAGCCTAAACCATCCAAATTAAAAAAATCATCTGTGATCTCTTCTAATACTGTTGTTGATATTGATATACCTTCAGCATCTGCTGGTAATGTATCTTCTCCTACCGGTAGTAATCCTAATAATTCTGCAATATCAGGAAACAAACAAAAAATTAAAACCAGCAAGAAACCTAAGAAAACTGCAACTCGACCATTTCCATTTTTCTATTTTGTAAGTACCTTTTTAATTTATCGGAAAAAAAAATTAAAATAAATTAATAACAATTTTATTATAAATTAACAACAAACATAATGTAGTTATATTATTAAAGACATTTTCCATAAATTTAAATTTTTTGTATTGAATATGATTTTTATATTATAATTTAATATACAAGTACATAATTTCCAAACTGTTAATACTGTTATTGTTGATTATTTTATAGGATGAAGGTGGTAATGAAGTTTGGATATGTCCAACTTGTGGCAAACAAGATGATGGTAGTCCAATGATTGGATGTGATGGCTGTGATGGCTGGTATCATTGGTAAGTCAAACACATTTTCACTCTAATTTAATCTTTGATATACAAAATACTTTTGGACCAAGGTGAAATGTGTCAATTAACCGATTGTTTCTAATAACCATTTGGTTTTCTATATTATCATAAAGATGTAAAATTCGAAAAAATTAACATACTGTGAAAAAAAAAATGTGTTGTATAATAAAATGGGATTATTAAAATACAATTTTAGTATAACTGCTATAATATTAGTATAGTTTATATAAATCCGGCTATTACAAATTATATTTTTTTCCGGAAATTAAATTTTATTCGATTTTTATGTAAGACATTTTTTCGTATACCAAATACACTTGAGTAAATATAAAAAATCTATTTTTCAAAATAAATAAAATATTTTGTATTTTACTATTTTTCTTGGAAAATTATAGACTTACGATAGTTTTTTTAAATATATATTTTATGAGCAACATTAAAATATATAATTAACCTTGTATACATTTATTTGCTAAATACTATAGTTTTTGAGTTAAATTCACTAAACTACAAAACTACCTTTTATGACAAATTTTCAACCCTCTTGAGTTACGGGAAGGGGATGAGTTATCATAACCAAATTTAGTCTCAATAACTTACTGATTTTAATGAACAAAAATGGCGGGTATCTGACTCGAAATTTTGAAAGTTAAAAAAGAAGGACCACCCTAATATATATATAGTGAAAGAAATTAATATTTTGTGATTTCCAAGTATTTAAGATCCTAAATATACTATACAAATATACAAAATACTTAAAAATGTAAACATGCCATAGTATGCAATAATAAGCAAAATAAAAATTCGTATACAGCATCGTTAGCTTATGAAACAAATGTTTGTAAAAACTAGTTATTTTTTGAGCCAATCAATAAAAATATACATATGCATACAAGTGTTGGTCCTATTGATGATCATGGTTTTGTAAGAACAATGTTGCCCTAAGTCTTTTTTTCGTCCGCATGGTGTAGGACTGCTCTCCTGATGATACTTAGAGCTTCTAAAATTTCTTTACTTTATGGAGATGCCTTGCTTTTTTTCTTCTTCGTCAGTGACTGTATGTTAAATTGGTCGAATATTTATTACCGAATTACAGATATATTTTTCTGTTGGGACCTATGCAACATCAAGGTTGTGAGTCCACATCGATTCAATCTTTATATACTTCTTCCTAGAGTTCGACTGGTTTCGATTGTAACGACTTAAGATAAAGCACATTGTAATCACAATCAAGACCGGATTAAGTACCTATTGGGCCCAGGGGCTGAAATTTTACATGGGCCCTTTGGACAAAACATGCTTTACAAGGCTGATCGCTACGCTAAGCTGGCATAACGATACCTATTTTTTTTAACTATTTCACAAATTGTCAATTGCATTATAAAATTATAAAATTAATAGAATTTTTCAACGACCTTGGCCATTTATTGTTTCAAGTAACCTATGTTTTGTTTCAATAATCCGATTGATTAAAAATGTTTTAATATACGGCCGATCCGTCCTTAGACATTTTGTTTCAATAACGTAGTTGTATCAATTATCCGTGTTCCTAATAAGCGGTTTTTTCTTTATATTTGAATTAATTACAGGGTCTGTGTGGGCATACAATGTCCACCAGATTGTGCGGTGTGGTTTTGTCCAACATGTTTGTTAAAACGAGCTGAACGTGGTGTGTCAGGTGCACCAACTGAAAAGGCTAAAAGAGGGAGACCACTGAAAAAGAAGTCAATTTCGTAAGAGCCAATTTAATACCTAATCTGAATTTATAATTTTTTTTTATTTAATCAAATTAATATTTGTATTATATATTAGGTTAAGTTTTTATATAATGATTTTTATTATTATCACGGATTAAGATACTACATATTGTAAACATTCTTAGTTCGTGGTCATAACCTTAACCATGTACATATTATGCAAGTCTCTCTGGTGCATAAGAAAGGTATGGTATTCTTAAATTCTTGAGGAATTTTTAAGGATGCCCTTGTAGATTTATAAGGTGGCTTCACAATTTTTATGTATTATTTTTATATATTTTATATCTATAGTAAAAAGTTGAATTAAACAATTTTGATGAGGAACACATACTATACAGTTGTTAAATTATATGAAAAATTTTTATTTTATGAAAATATCTTTTTCTTGATGAAACTATTTGTATTTATTTATTAGAGCTGTTTTAGGCAATATATAACACACAACGAACTATAAAAATTGTTATTTACAATTTGTTTTTTTTTTTTTTTGAAATAGATGATAATTTAAAATCAAATTTGTTTTAACGAGGAAGATTTATGTATAACTATTTAATAATTATGTTGCATATGTATTACTGTATATTATTTTTCATTAATAGTCATTAGCAAATTCAAATATATGTTGTTGAAAAATACATTTATTTCTCATATTAAATATTAATCAAATTTATTGAAAATGTACAGCTTAATGGTATTGATTTATTTTGTGATTTTTGTTTAAAATCCCACATAAGAGATTTTAACTAGTTATATACTTGGTAAACTTTTACTAGTAAATGATTTTCCCTCTTTTTAAATTTATAAATATTGGTATCAATATAATGTATATTTTTATTTTTAAATAACCTCAAAAAGTATTTTAGACTAGACTACTATTTTATTTCTTCAGATGTTTAGTTTTTGTTTATTTTGTATAAATTATTAAAAAATATGTGTGAGCATTAATTTCACTTGTCATAATGCTCTTAATAGATTGAATTTAGTTAAAATTATTCCAACAGTTTCAATATAAATAAAATACTAGTTATATCTGTTAATTAACTGTTCAAAATAGATTTATAATGAACAATCATAATAAATAATATCTACAATTTTAGAAAATGTTGAAGAAGTTAATTTTGTTTCAATGGTCAAGTGTGTATTTAATTTTTTCTTAGTTATATTTTGTATACTTGGTCATGACCTTTAATATTAATAAAAAATATAAATTGCTAATTTAGTTATTATAGCTTAAAATAAATATTGTTATTAAACTAAATTAATAATTAATAGCTTGTATTTTAAGACTTATTATGTAATGTTTAGAGTGTATTAGTTATATGAATAATATTTAATCCATATGTATTGTATATTATTAATTTTTATCAATGGTGGATTTGAAAAATAAAAGAATATAAACAAATTTTTAAAAATTGATATTTAAATTTAAGATTATAAATGGAAATTACTTAAAGTCATTAAAAAATTAATTAATTTCTTTGTTTTTTATAGTGATGAGCAATAAAAACTTTCAGAAAACTACCTTTAATATTATATACATATTTATTTACTTATTTAAAAGCCTGAATAAGTTGAAATTTCATAGATTTAGGGGTTCAGTGCAATATATTTTCTGTGTCACTAATTATATTGTTATAACATTTAAAAAATCATAATATTGTTACCAAACATTTTTGAAATTCGTATTTTATTTTATAAATCTATCATATTTTTCCTGTATTGTTGGTTTGAAATTTAGTAGACTTGGGTTACTCTTTGTGAACAGTTATTTCATCTTTTGCAACTGTTTGAAAGAAATTAATACTTAAAAATCATTTTTTCTTATATTTTGTGCATATTATTAGTACAATAAACTCGTCATTAAAATTTTTATTTTAATTGTAAAATTAAATTAAATATTTATCTCCCTTACGCATCATCCAAATAACTATTCATTAAATAGGTAGAATCTATAGACAATATACTTACATTAAAATTTATGTTTATATATTTGGCTATACAATTCATAGTTTCTAATTCTCAGCACTTGAAATTAATCAAATATACTCAGCATCCTTGTAGATTACGGTATTGACTACCACTTGTACTACTGTAATTATACATCACTTGCACTCTATATTTTAATGTTTATTATTATTCGTTTATCATAGTCTATAAATATATATGTAATTTATTATTTATTATGTATTTGTTATATGGATAATGTTATCCTTTTCTACTATAATTTTGACATTATTTATATTGTATGTGTTTAAGTATATATGATTTTTATTATTTGTATTAAACAAATTTATGTTGGTATATTACTGTGAATGGTAAATCTTCAGTGATTGCTAATGTTCTTCCTTTCATTTTGATTAACATTAGAAATAACATTATTATAATATTATTATTATTAGTTGTATGTATACTCTATTCTATATAAGACCGATATTTCATTGATGTTGAGTGTCGCGGGTAGACACAGTCTACTGATGTGTTTAGCAAGTGAAAGATCTCCACTGTTGGTCGAAAATATGATAGAATTCTAGAATGTGGTATACATAACTGGTTTCAATTTGATATTAATTTAGTAACCAATTTTAGTCTCTCTTATAGGGAATATAGTGTAATTTTATATTTATTTCCAATGTAAACTATATAAGCTTAAAATATCAATAATTCATTATTTGGATTTGAAAAGTACTAGAAAATATTAATGGTTACTGGCGTTGTACATTCACAGTTCTATATATATTTATTTCAATTATTATTATTATTATTATTATTATTATAAGTTTCATAATTTATACCAATTTTGTTTTGATTACTCAACTTTTACTTACCCTAAATTTTAAAATAGTGAATTTTTACTAACAAAAAGTGTTTATTTTATTAAAACTCAAGTATAATATTAATAATTAATATAGGCATCTATATTGTATATATGTATATATGTATATATGTATATAAACATATATACTTATATATTTATTAACCTATTGTAATGATAACTCTGTATTTTATCTCAATAAATTAATTTAAAGCTCTTATTATAATTTGTTTTTAATTTGGGTACCAATTTTGCAAAACAAAATGTAATTTTATACTGCTTTTTTTCTTCTTTTGCTTAATTTTTTGATTGAGAGTAATAAACTACAAAAATACAAGCAATTTCTAACTTCAAGTATAAATAAAAGTATCAAAAAATAATTAGTATGTACTCAGTCCTTGTAAACTAATGCAGAATAATTTTTCAAAAAAAAAAAATCAATATTGGCTATTATTAACTGCTTATCTTAATATTGAAATGAGTATTTATAATATTTTTATCCGGTTTAATGTGTTCTAGGTATATGCCACATCCATTATGTATGCTTTAAGTAACTTAATACATCAATTCTCAATTTAATACAAATGTTTTTTTTTTTTTTTTTTTTTTTAATAATTTTCCACTAAACAAACATTTGTGGTTTTATATTATAATCTTGGTATATTATGTATCATTGAATTTAGGTTAATAAGTAAATAATCTTATTTTAGATATTTTTAGTACAATCTTAAATATAAAGATAACAACATCTGTTGAATAATATTTTTTTAAAATGTAATTGAGATACTCGATTTTTAATTCCAGCTAAAGTAATGTATTAATAATTGATTAAGTTATATTTAATTCATTTCCATTAAAAATATATAAATTAATATTAATATTAATTTTGTATCTTTATTAATATATAATCTTTCATCTTTGATTTATTATTACTCCTATTAACTTATTGTACGTCCTAGTACAGGAATAGTGCAAAACCATTATATTGTTGGTAAGACAAAAATGATTATCATATAGTATTCCAGTACTATGAATTATCAAACTATTGGTATTATTTTGAACAAATTAAAGTTATTATGTTTTACAGGTACGTACTTTGGTAATACGATTGCATATACTTTGCTGAATTGAGCAGATTAATGAATACAGGTTAAAAAATTATGTATAGGAATATAAATCTTGCATCAAATTTCTCCAAAAACAATTAAGTCAATTAAAGACTGAAATAATTTAAAATTGGAGAACAATTTTTAAATTAAGATTGTTATTAGTAAGTATTTTACTAACTGATTAGTTTCGTTGAAAATTAATTACCTTAAAATTAATATATATGTTTGTTTAGAAACCAAATGGAAAAAGAAATAGCTATTAGAATAATTATTATTTTTTTATTTTATGTGTTCTATTGAAATACATTCTTGAACTTATTAGATTTTCAATTTTATTATAAATTATAAATTGCGTTATCATAGTAATAAAGTTTCTTATTTTAAAATATATCTTTGTAATTTTGTATGGTATTTTTATAAAAATTGCTTGTTTATATACATGAATATTAACATACATATTTGATATTCATAAAATTATTACAGAAGAAGAATTCATACAATCTAAAATTCTAAAATTATACATAATAAAATTTTATTTATTCACCGATTTAAATTAGTCAAGGATTTAAGACTGGTTTGAAAAACAATGAAATATCAGAACAAGGTTTCTTCTGTTGAGGAAAACTTTTTGAATTATTCTTACGTTTTTTACTACCATCATTATTTTTAATTGTTTTATGTTTATCCTTACTCGTGGATTGTATTATATCAGTCTTGTTTAAACTTTTGCTTAATTCCATTGCCACATGATGATCGATGTGCTCTTCGTATTCATTTATATGAATCATATTATTACATCGTTCACAAAATAACATTGTAGGAACACTATCATCACAGCATTCAATAATAGGTGATTCAATAGTCAATTCCAAATCATGGTTTGTATTTTGGTATTTCGAAGGTGATACAAATTCTAGTTTTTTTGAAAAAAATCCATCCGGTGACTGATTTGATGGTTTAACCTTATCATTGTTTGGTATGTTTTTCGAAGGAGAAATCACTTCCAGTTTTTTGGAGAGGTTTAATGAACTTGTCGAAGCAGACAGAACTTTTGCTGACACTTGGTCATTTAATTGGTTTTTAGTTGGAGAGATAATTTTCAGTTTTTTACTAAAAAAACTATTCATATTAAGTTGATTATTGTTCTTTTTCATATTTTCTATTTTATTATCTACATTTTCTGTAGGCGCAATATAATTAATAGAGCAATTACTAGAATTTCTCATCTGAGCAAACATGGTTTTAATATTTTTCATTTCACCTTTACTAGTGTCATTTTTTTTAGTGTTGGAGTTGTCTAATGATGATAACTGTTCAGTAGAAATAAGTGTACATTTTTTAGTACTAGATTTTTGATCATTGGTGTGAATTAGTTCCAATAGCGTACAACTATCACTTTCAGAGGTATTGTTAATTTCAGAATTAATTTTTTCATTCTCTAGTATACCTGATTGAACACACAAATTTATTTTATTATTTGCAACTCCTTTGCTAAAATAATTATTGATTGATGACTTTACTGTTATTTTTATAAACTTGTTAATACTTATTCCTAAGAATGACAAAGGGGTTTTCCTGTAATAAATTATATCACAACTTATTAAAACAAATATTAAATTAGAAGTATATAAAGTAAGTTCAAGTGATGGACTCGATGTATATCATGCCTTAAACTATTATATCATAAGGATATATGAGGTTATATATTACTGTTATAAGCTGTATTGATTAGGCGCAACTTAAATTTAATATTTAAAATTTAGTATTACCAATTTGAAGACTTTTGGTTTTCAGTCATGTTAGACAGCAATGAATAAGCCAAATCTAACAATTTTCTATTATTATAGGTAGTCACTTCACCACATTGGGACGTAGGCAAATTTGTTTCCTTATTTAAATATCTAACACTGATAGTCATTGATGTAGCTTTTCTTTTATTCTAAAAAACAAAAAAAAAAATGTATTATTTATATTAATTATTTGATTTTAAAAAGAGAATAAATTAATACATACTGTTTCATAATCAGCTTCTAATTTTTCAACAATATCATTCATTAAAATACTTAACCAATGTTGTATTTCTTCTTTGACCTTTAAACCTAAAGGAAATGATTTACAACTGCCAATTGATTTAGGTATAATTCTAGATTCTACAGGTTCATTATCAATACCTTTGCTGATTTGATACAAAAAGTTACTAAAATAAAATAATAAAAATATGAATTAAAATATTTAAATATAATAAAATTAATAAATACCTTGTTTTATTATCAAACTTCTGTTGTAAATCATTTAAAGGTATTGCTGCTAAATCGGACATAAATTCACAGTTAAACTCTTCCCTAACGCGATTTCCAAGTTTACCACCTAAATTTTTTACTTTCTTAATCTGGATAGTCTCAAACAAATGAGGTACATTAGAAGGTGGTAATAATGTTTGTTGATTTGGTTTATGTAAGCCACACACAAGTTTAGCTAAAATCTGGTAAATATTAACAAATTTAGAAAATTGTAATTTTATTCATAATACAAAATCAAAATAATTAAACACATATGTATAAAATTTAATGTACACTATACTTTTAAAATATTTAAAGCACCAGCTAATTTAAAAATATTTCATAAATGCAACTGGTACCGAACTTATTATTGATTATTTTACAATAAATATTCAGTCTTGTGTGAACAATTTATTAAGTTTTTATTATTCAGTTGTTTCCAATACACTTCAAAATTATTTATCAGACAAAGATGATTTTAAATGTTTACCTGAACCATTTCATTTTAAAGTTATTAATTATCAGCATTTTATTAATAATGCAAAAATTAATTACAACTAACCTTGTTATTAGCAATTCCAGCTGAACAGTGAAACCCAGTTTTTTTGAAAATCGATTCCCTCAATTTTTCTACCATCATGGCACCAACTGTCAAACGAAGTAAGGAATCATCTTGTAATTCATTATTATATACATCATGAAGCCATGTTTTCATATTTTCAATTCTATTTTCTTAATAAACAACTAAATATTACTATTTTTCATCAAAAGTATATAGTTAAATGTTTATTATAATAAATATAATAAAATGCTAAATAAAAATAATTAAATATTAATTTGTGCATTTTAGATTTCACTTAAATTGTTTGTTTTATAAAGAGTTAGCATTAATATAAATACTTCAAATAAGACTATGGTATAGTCAGGTGTTTTTTATTTTTTTTAGAACATAAATTTAAATTTAAAAATATTTAGACAAATTGCATTAAATATTTATAAAGTTCAGTAATATGTAGGTAATAATAGTTTGAATTACATGATAGGTTTCTGTTATTCAGATTCAAATAATAGCAAATTCTGTATTTTTATATATTTTAAAGGTATAAGTTGATTATCAATATTTAATATAAAATCCAAACTTTTATTGATGAAGGATACATTTTAATGATTTTTAATATAATATTTGTTTTAAAGAGATTTAATTGATATATACTTACTTTTTGAGTTTTTATCAGTATAACCTTCTACAAATGTATTTTGTAAATCATTTTCTGTTATTACATTGTGATTAGATGATATATAATCATTTACAACACTAGTTAAATCGACATAAGCCTCATCGATACTAGCTCGTTGTACACAAGAACTAAATTCACTGAGAACCTCAAACACTTTTTGACTAGCTGCACGATATCTATGAAGGATAAAATGAATATAATTAATTGTCTTATAATAATAACTAGAGTACGGATTTTGTAGGCATTTGCTTTTTTTTACTATTACTCTAAAATATAAGCTACGAATTCGATTTATACTACTTAGAATAAAATACACGACATTTTATTTTGCTTTTTTTTTTTGCATTTATTGTATATAAATGTTTTTTTTTTTTGGTATTTTTGATATTTTTTTGGCTTTTTTCAAACATCACAACTCTTTTTGGGTATTTTAAGTACGGTTTTTTGCTTTTAAGTTACATTTTTTCAAAATGTGTTCTAAATAAAAGTATTTGAAATTTTAATATTTATTTTTATATAATATGTTCCAAATCTTGTTCAATCAATTATTTATAAAATTGTTCAGTTTGTCATATGCTGTATGATATATAGTAGATTAATTTATCTTAAAATGACAATAAACAGAAAAATAAGCACTTATTCTAGAAATTATATACTCAAAATTATAGTTTAGTTTTTGTTGTAACACCATATGCCATAGTCCTTTACAAAATGCCAAAAATTGTTTATTTATCTTTTTTTTTAAACCCATTTTCAATGCTTTTTTTAAGCTTATTTGGAAGATTTTTACAGCTTTATTGCTTTTTTTTTTGTGTGCTTTTCTTTAGTTTTTTATTGCTTTTAAATCTAATACTCTAATATTAACAATATCATATAGTTAATAAAATAATCAATCTTATTTATTATAAAATAATGAATTTTGCTATTCCAATTGTTTTGTATAGGTAAGCTGTTTTAAGTTTTTAGATCAAGATATATTAAGTAAATATTTTTTATTTACAGTTAATTATTACAAAAAATCCATGACCTTCCAAAATTATTACCAATTTCTATAATATGATTTCAATATTATAATATTTAACATTGATATAATTATTGTAAAAGTTATTTACTTTGAAAGATCTGCTTTTCCATGAAGCTCTTTGACCCGCACTAAATTTAAATCCGGACATTTCTTTATAGCATCGTCTCCTCTCATGTGCCGATTGACTCCTTTGGCTCTCGCCTCATAATTTACAGCGATTATTCTAAAATAGTAACACTAAACTATGATTTACTGCATAATCTATTTGTAAACATTGAAATACCCGCCGCCTTTCCAACTGTTGTACTGGACCACAGCAACTGGCTTTCCAGATAGAGACTGATTGTGATGTACTTCCACCTGACAGTAAAAGCAATCCATGTCAACCAATACAACTACTCGTTTACTTTCGATACAGTCATTCATAATTGAAATTCACGTCAGAAGTGATTATGTGATGACTAATATGGCTGGGCTTTTATTAACACTTTAATGTGCATATGCGATAAGAAATGCCATTCGCACAAATGTAGACAAAAAATGTTCTGCCAACGTCGTCCCTCGATTGCAAAAGTTGTGTAACAATAAAATAATAATTGACAATTAACCCTTACTATAAAGGTACCTAGTTTTTATTATTTCTATTATTATGATATCGGATGGATAGATAATAGATAACGGGAAGATAACAAATAGTTGGCGGTTTTTTGTAATGTTCCGTTGTCGAGTTAATATTCTTCGTGATAGTATATTGTCCTTTATAATCGGTACTGATAATATTAATATAGTGAAACAGATGTAATTTTCTCTCTGTGATTTTAATCCGTTCCTAGTTAGAATTTGTAACTTTTCTTCTTAGTAGAAAACAAGAAAGTATCTAGGATGAAGGGCGTCCCTAGAAATATTTTTTGGTGGGGCGAGGAGTTTAATAATTGGGCATAATTCTAGTTTAGCATCCTATCGATTTTTTTAATTTTTTTTTCCAAAATGTATGTTCTAGGGTGTTTTTTAAGTATGTTAAAAAAAATTGGCCCGGACAAACTTCGTTTTGAAGTTATTGATGAAAAACTTCAAAAACTTCAAATTTTTTTCATAACCCCCATTTTTTTTTTTAAATAATACTTAGAATTGAATATTTAATTTTAATTTTCACATATTTACATTTTTATTGTCCCTGTTACCTACTTGAGGTGGTATTGCATAGCAAGTCGAGGAATATTTTCGATTTGTAGAGTGAAGCGACGGCGCCGAGGAGCGTAGCGATGAGTGCCGAAACACTCGTATAATAGTTTCATTGGCCATTGCCGATACCACACGCATCGTTTGCAAAAAAATTTTATTTCATTTTCATAAATACTTCGTATGTAGGTGGACCGGGGTCAATTGTTGTAATTGATGAATCAAAATTCGGAAGGAGAAAATATCACAAAGGACATCACATCAAGTTTTTGAAGTTTTTCATCAATTACTCTAAAACGAAGTTTGTCCGGGGTTCTTTTTTTTATATACTTATAAAACACCCTAAAACACACATTTTGGAAAAAAAAAATTAAAAAAATCAATAGGTTGCTAAACTAGAATCGTTCCAATAGTTGTACTACCACGTATTTCAAATGCATTTATTTCACAAGATAATAATTTTGGTAATAATTAATTTTTTAGTGTTAGATAGATCGATTATAGATTATAAAAATAAGCCTACCAAATGTTTACGAAATCAAACTTAAATTGCATTAAGCAATACTTTTTTTCTAAATCCATTAAAATGTGGGGGGGCTTAAACACTCAAAATCCTCCTAGACACGTCTCTTTCTACAGTACAAATATAGTATAAATTATCAGTCGGAGAACGCCTGGTTTGTGTGAAGCTTAAAAATATCCTTTCGTTTATACCTAAATACGCGTGTGTGGCGTAAGTGAAAAATGCTCCCAATTGGTAATTGATACATGTGTACTAGCCGCCAATGACGGTAAATATTTTACTAATGTATTTTAATAAGTCTCGAACAGTGGCGCAGTGAGCAGTGGGGAGAGGGTTTTTTTGGAGTTGTAAATCCTCTTCGAATTATTTAGTTAACCTTAATCCCATTCTCCCCACCAAATACTTTTCGAACGAAAGTCACTTGGTCATTATTACCAGAGTTAAGTTCCTTCTAGGCGGTTAGAACTATCCGAGAGTTAAAACCTTGTGCCTTTGTCAACCAGTGTTGGGCAAATCGTAATCTGATTAATGATTACGATTACAATTTGTAGTTATTAATCATAAGATAAATTAATATAATCAATAATTACAATTTCAAATTATTTTAAATGATTAAAGTAATAATGTAATGTGTTGATTAGGTACGATTACAGAATTTGTTAATTTTTAATCATGACTAATTTTAATGATTAATGATGCTTCAATAATGGGTTTAAGTTGAATAATAGCTATATTTTGAGATAAATATTTAAAAATATGCAGTGTATTAACCATTATAGTATATTTTATGTATATTATCAGTGGCACCCGCAGATTTTCTATGAACCAGTGCAGTTATAATTATAGGGCTCCCAAATTTATTTTGGTCTACATTTATACGACCATATTCGTTTGATTGAAATAATTTTTTTTCCAAATGCATGTTTATCTTGTAAATTAATTTCAAAATATTGCAAATTTCTGTACCATATTTTTTAATAGGGGTTTGAATTTAAAATTTTACAAAAAACACTGGTTGGTATTGCTCAGGGCAGTTTTTCAAATACAATAACTTATTAATTATGAAAGATTTCAAAGATAATACTTTAGCATACATAATAATTTTGATCAATGATTTAATTTTAGGCATTGAATATGTACTGCATATCTGGTAGAGTAATATTTATTGAACCATTTTTAAATTGTGTATATGTCACTAGCAATATGGATAAATCAGGTATTTTGCAAAATGCCTAGGCCTACATGTAAATCAATGACAGATGAATCAAGAAACCTATACCGATAATTTAATTTAATTTTTCCAGCACTACAGTAATGTGGTGTCATGAATATTAACGTTCAATGAAATAAATTAAAAATATATTTCATCAGTTAGGGTACTCTAAGTTTTTAGTCACTCAGTGAAATGAATTTATTACTATACTTCTGTATTATATAATATATAATACTATATACACCAAAACCATTTCAGTGTATGTTAAAACCCTATACAAAAAAAAAAAAATTGATTACTGTTACTTTTTATATTTATTTGTATTTTATAAGACCCAGGATGAGAATTTTAGCATTTTGTGAAAATGTAACACATTTAATGGACAGAATATAAATATACAAATTATATCAGTTAATATAATAAGTAATATAATTTACATATATTACCTTATGTATATTTTTACAGTAAAAAACAATAATTTTAATTTAGTTGGCTTGAATTGAAATTTTTAATTTAAATAAAAACATTACAAAACACTTATTACAAGATGAAAATTATAATGATTTATTAGTTATTTTTCATATATTCAACAATACTAAGACATAATAAAAAATCATTTTGTAATTTTTCCCAAGGATTATTTTTTGATATTTGCTCTAAATGAGTTAATGCTTCTGGTTGTTGGGCCACTACACGTCCATTGTATTTTAAAAATACACCCAAATAAGATTGTGATAATTCAAAATCCTTGTTGTTCTCAGATATTTGTTTCAATAAATCCAAAAACTTAATCATTAGTTCAAATGTGCCACCCGCTTCTGGTGATAAAGATCGTACTTCATAGTTTAAAGCAGAAGGTCCCATCAATTTTAATTGATCAAATAAAGCTTGATAATCATTTAATGTTTGTGCTTTTAATAATTTTTGAGCAAAAACGGTTTGGGTTATTGTTTTGGGGTCAATTTTCTTATTGATTTCTTTTTTACTTAGTGCATCTTCTATGTCAAATTCGAAGTTTAATGATTGAATTGTGGGTAAGAAAAACGGAGCAGCAACTGGTGCTTTAGGTTGTAATAACGGTTTATTTCGTTTTTTGATAGCATCTAAATTCAGTATGTTTTGCCATCTAGCATCATCCAGACCACTCATAGTAATCTTGTTTTCAATTTGTTCTTTAGGGGTGTATTTATCTTCATTTTCAACAGTAAGGCATTCGAGAGATTCTTGGTTTATGCCAGTTAATGGAAGTGGTTCTGTGATCTGATCTTCTTCAATGATGGGCCGTAAACTAACATGAGTGTATAGTGTTTTATTAAACCATAAATAAATACCCAAACGATCAGCATGAGCAGTAGCTAAATAACTACCAGTTGGAGAGAATGTCAACGAAACGCAAGGTGTATCAACCTAAAACAGATTATATTATATAATAATATAGTATTATTGATGATAAAATAGTTTACTTTAAGTATATCGATCATTGATGATGAAGGTATATCCCAAGTACGAATAGTTGAATCCATCGCTGATGTAACCAACCATCTGGAGTCTGGACTAAACGTTAAATCAGTTAATGGACCATGATGACCACTGAACTTTCGTACAACAGTACGTGTATCAGTATCAACCAAGCATATATCATAATTATCTAAAGCTATTGCTAAAAAGGAACTTTCTGAATGCCAACTGAAGAATGAAACAGTGTCATCTATTTCCAATTTAGCTAACAAGTCTGCAAAACAATTTTTTTTTTTATTAGTAAATTTAATAATAGTTTTATAATTAAAAACAAATAACATACCACATTTTTTAAAATTCCAGAACTTCAAAAATGTATCTGAACCACCAGATATCATTACTTGATTAAGAGTATCTACATAAACTGCCCGTACACAATTATGAGCAGTTGGATTTCCATATGTACCTCTATGTAAACCTGACTGAACATTATATTTGTCTATATGGCCAGAACTATAACCAATGACCACAAAATTACCACAATGAGTAAGGCATGCACAATTAGCACTAATGCCTTTTTGTCCACTGACGTTTTTCTTAAATCTTTCATGACACAATTTATGTTCTCCCATTTTATTCTTATCAAATGACCATGTTGTTACAGTAGGTATGCCTCTATGTACAGCTACTATGTTGTCCCATTCTTTATCTCGAGTGGTCTCCGAAGTGAATGAAGTTATTGGTGGCATTGTTAAAGGATCTGCCCATTTATTTCCACGTTTTTTAGAAATTTTTCGGTTATATGATGCACGTCCAAAACTTTTGTTTGCAATTTCAGTGACTGTATTGAAGACACGTAATGTTGAATCATTGCCAGCACTTAATATACTAGCACCACTAGCTCCATGGAAGCGAATAGAAACAGGAGGCTTGAAATGTCCTTCGCGTATTTTAAACAAACTAGCAGAGCCGTCAGACATGTCAAAACGCCACATTTTAAGAGAATTGTCTGAAGATGAAGTAACAAGTAAAGGCTCATCGGGTAAACACTGAAGACCACAAATCGGTCCATGATGTGCTTTGACAATTAAACTATCAACTTTGCCTTCCTCAAGATTCCATACAACAACAGTGCCTTTTGGACTACCTGTCATCATTAACTGTCGTTTTATTAGAAAACTGATGCGTGTAACTGAACCCCAATCTTGAACAAAAGTCATTTTAGAAACATCAAATTTTAGATTATGTAAAATAATTTTGCCATTTTTCAATCCAATTGCTACCATATCTTCAGCTGGAGCTGGTTCTAAGCTGGTCACACTGCTATCCCAACCTTTAAATTCATAAATCATAGATCCTGTTTTTATGTTCCATAACTGTAGTTTTCCTTCAGCAGAACCAATTAGTACTTTATTAGTATAAGTTGGTGGATGACATATTGTAGTTGCTGTTATATTTAATTGTATTTCTTTGTATATACTCTCAGTTTTTATATCCCAAACTTTTACTATTCCTAGTTCATCAATAGACACTAAATTTACAGCGAATGGAAATAATAGTTTAATTGCTGCTTTATGGCCACTATATGTATGTTTTAGTTCTACACCACGCCGCCATGCATATATTTGGTCTTCACAACTGGTATAAACAAGGTAACAATCTGCAGCTAAACATGTGATATTTGCTTCATGTTGAGGACTGACAGAAAGAAGTTGGAATCGATCTGAACTGTATGTGTGAAATGCACGGCCAACAGATGTAACTATTAAATTTTCTCGTCTAAGGTTTATATAACGGGTGACAAGTGGAATCTCATTACTAACATATCCTGTAAATACCAAACAATCAAATTATTTCCAGAGATATATGATATATTAATTGGTATTTTTTAAATTATAGGCATTGAACAACATGAATGTAATTAAGTGTATTATATTGCATTGTGTTATATGTAATATTAAATTCATTCCTGAATATATGAACAATTTTTTTAATATATAAATGTTAAATAGTTTAAATTCATATAAATTTCAAATTTCAAATTAATTTGATGACGGTTAAATCAACATTTGTATAAGATAACTTAAAAGAGAAAGTATCATATAATATTTAATACTTAAAAAATTAGTAAAGTATTTCAAAGATAAATACTAAAATTAAATATTTACAAATAGGAAACAATAATTAATCAATAATAATAAAATTGTTATTTTTAATATATTTATATTTATTTAATACAGAAGTTAGATAAAAAAAACATTTAAAAATTAAGTAAAATCGAAAATAATTATCAAGGAATAAAATATAGCAGTCTATTGATATTCTAATTTTGTATCAGAAGTTTAATAACTACTGGTGCAAAAAGACTTTAGTATAAAATGTAAAGTTAAATATGCAAAAGCAATTTCAATGATTTCTTGTTCTAAATATTGTTGATAAATAATACTTAACTATACACCTAATATCATGTTTGGTGATATGATTTACTAAAAGTTTTAGATATCTGATTGGACAAATTTGTATAAAAAACTGAAACACTAACGCATAGGTTAGGTAAACGATAAATATCGGTCATGAGTTACGAATTGTAAACATTTTAATTTGAATAGAAAACAAAAACCGTGTCTGAAGGTAATTGATAATACAAAACATGTTCAATATAAGTTGATCACTACTCGGCAACATTCCAAAACGTCATGTACGTTACGTGTCTGTATAGTTAGAAGCGTAAACAAATTCAACAACCGTCGGACAACACCAGGTTACAAGTCACGAAAAACGTGTGCGCGAGTGAGAAGCATCCGTAAAGAAATAGGCCATAGCACGAAACGTAGAGAAGCGCGTGAACAGTTCTCGTCGCTACTCGTTCGCCTGACGACAATGCGTCCCCGAATAACGTGGCGCGTAATAACAACTTACCAAGCGCTCGGTTCTGTAGAAATATCTTGCTGGACGACATCGTAACACACAAGTTCGCCGGACAGAAAAATAATAAAAATAACAATCAAAGAGAACAACTTGACATGATGACTGACGGTTTAAGGATCGTCAACAAATGGTCCGCTCGCGCGCACGTGTGCATTGGGTACGTTTGCATGAAACGTTATCGCCGGCTTATCATGGCGCGAGGCGGTAATGTTGATAACGCGTGGGCCGTTCCGGTGCAGTGCCGCACCATGTCGCGCGAGATGACACGACCGACCGCGACCACTAGGAACGGCTCCGCCGTGGCGGATTCTCCGTTCGAGTTTTTCGCTACAGGAATATCGTTCCAAATATTACGAACCGTTAGAATACTAATAACGATTTTATTGTTGTACTCTATCTCGTATCGCATGATTTACATAGTAAGCAACTGAGTGCGTTTCGCGAAAACGTTTTTTAGTTCTCCAAACGATTTTGATAACTCTATACGATTTCTCCACAAGCTAAATCTTGTGCATACATGGTTCGAATAATCTATTTTCATATTCGATTTATATATATATATATATATATATATGTTGCAGCCACTTGGTAAAATTTACCATTTTACGAGATGGAAACGGTTTTTTTCACATTTCGTGATTTATGAAAATATTTCACGATATTGTTACGGACATATATAAATGTACGCCCTCACGATTACCATTACACGGGGAGGGGGAGTCAGATAATATTAAGAGCTCTAAAATAACACTTATTATAAACATCATATCCAGTGCGACGGTAGTGGCGCGAAGCTAAGTAAAAAAAAAAAGCGAAGCGGTCACTATTGTAGTACATTACACGAGCCAGTTTGCCCATTGAAAGTGTGTAAATTTGCTCATTTTCTTTAGCCAGTGTTACAGACCTAATAAATGAACGGATTGGTCTGTATTTAGTATTAATAGATCGGGCATGATTTGTAGATTATACCTCTGTCATTTTTGAAGAAATTAATTGAATAATGCCGAATATATTAGCAAAAAAGTCGAGTATTTTTGAAGCAAAAAGATATTGTGCTCGACCGTTTTTAGTTATAACTAAAGCGCGGATTTCTATGCAATCGCATATTTTTTCCTTTCAATATTTTTGGATTTTTGTCAGTTATCTCCACGAATCATCATAATTTGAATCATGAATCTTTGGATTGGTAATTTTTAAAGTATTTTTCATAACACAGTCTTATGCCATGCGGACTTTTGATGTAAAAAATATTTTTAGAATGCGGATCTACGGTACGTTAATTTTTTTGACCGTGCGGAATTACGGTGCATGCGGAGTTGCGGATTTACAAAATAATTTTATTCGTGCGGAGCTACGGTGCGTCCTGTTTTTGTTGGGTACAGATATCAGTAGTGCGGTTACAATGATCAAATCGGTATATACATGGGAGCATATCATATAATAATATAGGCGTTAGTGCTCTTGATTTGATGTGAATAATACCTGGGTACCTGTTTATCCGGGTAATACCTGATTTTGTAGGTAGTCAACGTTTCCGGATAGCGAGTACCCATTACCCAAAATTTTTGGGTACCCGATGGTTTTTGATATACGTAAACGGTTTAGCTAAGTCTTAACTGCTAAGAGGTAATCAGTATTAAATTATACATTACACGATTATTCAAATAAAAAATATTAAAATACCTATTTTCTCTTTTAAATTAATAAAATTACGTTTTAAAAATTAAATCTTTAGTATTTTATGTGAGTGTTATTAGTGGTATTGTATTTCAATAATTAATTTATTCAAGTATAATGTCGAATAACATGTTAAAAGTTATTATAAAGCCTATTTTTAATCTTGCAGATAACGGATACAGTGGCCTTATTCGTTACTTTTTATGTGTATAGCTACGCAGATAGTAATAAGTAGGGTCCGGAATTGTATGCATTTGCATATTTTTATATATTAAACTAAAAAGTAGTTAAGTAAGAGAGAAATTTGAATCTTAATCTAATGTGTTAGTATGCTAAATTAAATTTGGCATATTTTCGCATATTTGGAATATTTCAAATTATAATTAATAATATATTATGCATATTTTAGAATTTTTCTGAAATATAATTTTTTTTCCGCTCTTCGTGCAAAATCTAAATCTCAAACTAAAATCAACCATTATATATATCTATCTAACATTGAATCCTCCTTAAAATTGAACCCTAAACGTTTTTGGTATTTTTTAAAAACCATTAAATATTCTCCTGACTTTCCTGGTTCTTTAAGTTTAAATAACGTAGTTGCTAATGATGGTATTAGCATAGTTAATTTATTTGGCATTTATTTTTCTTCAGTTTATAAGAACTCAAATACATCTCTCTCTAACTACCCATTACCAGTCATTGAATCAGTCGATATCATTAATAACTGTGAAATCAATATTTTAGGTATTTTTAATGAATTAGAAAAATTAACTAGTAAAATTTCTACTGGTCCTGACGGTATATCTGCTTTATATTTGTATCACTGTAGATTTAATCTTACTCCTCCTTTACATAAAATTCTTACTCTATCTTTAAACATAGGAATTTTCCCTTCTAATTGGAAATTTACATTCATCAATCCTATTTTTAAAAAAAAGGTTTAAAATCATTAATCTCCAATTATCGTCCTATACCAATTATTTCTATCATTCCAAAAATTTTCTCTAAAATTATTAATTATAAATTAACTCCAATTTATAAAAACATACTTATTCCGCAATAATATGGTTTTAGATGTAATAAATCAACAGTAACTAATCTTATTAATTTTAAACACTTTATTTTACACTCATTTTCCAATGGCAGTCAAACCGATACAGTTTTCACTGACTTTGAAAAGTCATTTGATAGTATTGATCATAGTATACTTATCAAATTAAAAAAAATTGGCATCTCTAATCCTTTATTATCTTGGTTCACTCCCTTTATTTCTAAACGAATTCAATATGTTAAAATAAAAAACTATATATCTGATGAAATGAAATAAATTATCTGGGACTCTAATTCTATTGGCATTTCTAATCACATTGAAGCTGTCCAAAATAAATTTTTACGATTTATTAGCTTTAAATTCAGTATATCAAGGACTCCTCATTCTGATTATGATAAAATTAACAAATATTTAAATCTCATTTCCTTAAAAGATCGCAGGAAAGATTCGTATATTACATTTTTAAAAAAATTATTAAATAATAAAATAGATGATTCTTATTTATTAAGTCTTATTAACATAAAAGTCAATACTCGTAATACTAGGGAGTCATGTCTATTTTATATAACTCATTCTTCTCACAATTATTTACTAAACTCCCCTATTATCTATTACTTAATGATAACTCTGTTAATACCAATTTTGATTTTTTTTTATAATTCTGTCTTTTACTTATAATGTACCTTTAATATTTAATTTCATTATTTTCTTTTTTTGTTGGTGTTTTGTTTTATATAGTTTCTACATTAATATTCTTGTTGTTATTATTTTTATTATTATTATGTTATAATATTTTATCACAATTGTTATTCTAACTAAAAGTTCTAATATCAAGCATTTCAAATTGTAATTGGACTCAGGTCCGTAAAATAAATTATAATGCATATATAGAAAAAAATGTTACGAAGTTATTAATATTATTATATATTACTTATATTACTTATTATATATTACTTAGCGCATGTCCATCGTAAATTCCGTGAATCATGCAGTTATATAATTTGATTTTTGTGTTATAATAAGATAAGATAAAGTTTGCTAAAAGTACCAATACGATAGTAACTCTCTAGGTAACTTTTTAAATATTATAAAAATCCATTTGATTTGTTTGATTTGATTTATTTTTGTTTGTGACTTTTTGTTTAGATGAGTAAGTATTCAAAATAATATTAAATTTCAATATAACATACATTTCCATACATTTCAATAAAATATACAAAATACAGTTGATATATTTTAAAGTATTTTATTTGTTGAATATTAATTATTTAATGAATTGTACCTATACATTTTAAAATTAAATAAATTTAATAAATAATAAACATGCATTTTTGTTTGCATATTTTCCATTTATGCATGGATATTTCGTACGTTTTTAGTGCATATAATTCCGAGTCCTAATAATAAATAATCACAATTAATGGCGTACATACAAGGGAGAAGACGTTCAAACCTACCCCAGGGCCGAAAAAAAAAAAGGAGAAAATTGTGATATTATTGATGACGTGTAATATATTCATAATTTAATTTTTTTGCTTTGAACTTAAAATATATGTACAACTATACAAAAATTATAATAATTGAATATTTATATTGATAGGTGTTTGAAAAGTTTTGTTAACTATGCTGTTTTTTATATTCTTATAGCTACTAATTTATTGTGATGTAAAAGTAAACAATAAATTGTTGTAAAAAGTTGTATAAAATAATATCTATTTTTTTTTTTTTTTGCTTTATGGGCCCTTAAGGCCTTTCGCAGTTTCTACTAAACCTCTCCACTTGTCACGATCAATGGCAGTCTCGAAACTTGCTGCTTCATCCACCATTCTTATATCTGCATTTAATCTATCCCGCCGACGTTGGCGAGGTCTTCCACTGGGACGCTTGCCAGTAAGGTTATTATTCAGTACTTTTTGAATTATGCTTCCCTCAGCTCGCCATACATTTAAGATCTTCGTGATAGATTATCTATTTATAGCAGTTATTTATCTGCGCAACGAAAAAAAAAAGATAACGAAATTTATCATGTTTTAGAAAAAATATGTATTTACATATAAATCCCAGTTCTAGTTATGAGTATACAAACCATAACGGGTATCCGAAATTTTGTAAATCGGGTAATACTAGTAAAATCTGGGTACCCAAGTATCCGGGTATCCGGGTATCAAGAGCACTAATAAACAAACTGATTCCTTTTTCCGGTGTGGCTTTTATTTTTTTTTTGATCACCCATCCCATTATAAAAACCCGCCTTAAAAAAAAATAGATATATAAAACATATGTAAGTAAAAATAAAATTTATTAGAAAATCTGATATACAATCTGATTATCAATGAACGCCAGTCCTGGTAATTTTTATTTTTTTGTAATTTGATAAAACTGATAAAAAAAACTTTCGATTTTCCAAAAAAAAAAATTATTAGCACTTTTTACTTAAGTACCTAGTA